ATAGTACCCTAAATAGTGGGATCCCTATTATAAGGACCCCACAATAAGGTACCCCTTTGTTCGGAAACTCCCATATCTCGCCAAAGGCTTGACATCATGCTCATATGAGCATGAGTTCAGCAGCCTCGCATAAACCGTAAAGCCCAAACTCAACAGTGCCAAACTCTGCGAGACCAGTCCGCACCCTCTCCTCCAAAAATCTGACCTACATAAGCCATCTTTAACCCACAAAAATATCTGAAACCAAACAACATGCCCAAATCCGCAATCTCATGCTTGCTCCGAGGTGCAGCCCCCTGTTTCCGGGGAGTGGGTCCGTTGTGCACCGCCAATCACCTCAAGAGTCGAGAAGTCGTGTTGAAGTGTACCCTAAGCCCCGAAAGTAGTTCCTTTTTTGGATTCATCCTTGGAATCCTATAAGGTAATCCCAAAAAGGAACTACTTTGGGGCCTACGGGTAGTGAAAGTAGGATGCTCAGAGTCTTCTTCTACGATTCTCATTCATTCGCAAGGCTCGTCAGCTGAAGTGCACCCACCAACATGATAAAACCCACCATTAAACATTCATGATCAACCCACGAAGAGCTTACAGAACCACGTTTTGGAAACATGTGTTTGCCCCCCCCCAATTTTAAAAACCTGTCAAACCGCTTGTCAAACAAACAAACCTTCTGACGCCCAACAAATCCCCAAACCGGGCCTGCCCCACAAAATGGGAGGTTATGACCCCTTAACCCTAAACCCTAAAGCCAGTAACCCCGAGCGGGCTTCCTGCGAAATAGGAAATTATGAGCCCTTAACGGTAAACATCAAAAACCCCTCACTGGGCTTCCTGCTTGCTTGAGGTTCTCCGGTTTCAGGCTCTGTAGATTCGCCATGAAGAGGTCGACTTGAAAACGGCCCTGGGAAGGTTTAATGTAGGAACCTGATTAAGAAACTTTGGGCCTTTATTAGGGTTCCTTATATGAATCCACGATTTGGGGGTTTTAAGGCCAGGGTTTCTTAATCAGGTTCCTACATTAGCTGTAAGTGGGCTTGTAAGTAGGGTGACTGTAGTTATAGCCGGTATTAAGGGACGTATAACTCCACTTATAACCAAGTTTAGGGAATTCAGCTTTAGGGTCAGGGGATCACGGATTTGGTATATATATATATATATATATCAGTAAGCAAGCCCATATGTTTTTATATATTGTATTTATAATTATGTATGCAACACATGTTGACTTATTTATTTCTGTTCATTTCTATCAATCTACCGACTTATGTGTTTATGCATCTCAAGGTTTGGGGTAGGGTTTCAGTTTCGATATCGAGTGACACCAAAAAAATCGACTGTAAGCGTCTTTATGCATAACGAGGAACCCTAAGCAGTAGGTTTTTAGGGTCCAGGTATACCGACGTTTTGGTGCGTTCATGAATCAGGACTTTACGACGGCAAGATTGAACTGGGCCCGGATGTCTCCAATTCCCCCCCAATTCAGGAACATAGTTTGAAATATCGAAGGATCCTTCTAACCAAGAGCATACTCATTACTTACTTGGAGGATCATGGGACTTTGTAAGTAGCGTTATAAGTACTTGAATTGGGGTTATAAGTAATTATAACTGTATAGTTACATTACTCATAACCCCAAGTACTAAGTCCCATGAGCCGTTAAGTCAGGGGCTTTGAAGTCTCTGGGTCTATGAGCTTGGAATTTGGGTTTTTGGCGTTTACCGATGCGCCATTAACGCGCGGACGTAGGACTGAAATCTGCTCGTTCTCTTGGTGTCTGGGCTGTACTTATAGGATCATAGGACTGAGTATCCTTTAAGGATTCCTAAAGGGGTTCCTTAACGGTTCTACGAGAGATCTTTAAGGGTTAAGGGTGTAAGGACCATGGGACTTAGTAATTGGGGCTAGAAGTAAAGTAACTATACAGCTATAACTACTTAGAAACTCCAATTCAAGATGCTACTTACTAAGTCACATGATCCTCCAAGTATGACTTGTATACTGAACTTAGAACCCTAGCAAAAATTCTAATTTTGGCTGTTTCTTAGGGATTATAATAACCAAAATTAAAAATATTTCTAAGTACCCCTAAGTTTAAGGCCACCAGGCGCTTGACCAACGCATCATCGCCAATCACCTCGGCTCTGCGAGGGAGTGCCTCCAGAGAGCAGAAATCCAAGGGTAGAAGGAGGGACCCTTAATCAATTATATAGCCCCATTATAGGTTAGGGGTCCCCATTAAGGGTCCCTCCTTTTTCCCCTTTGAAGAAAGTAATCTCATCCCCGCAGGCTTGGCCTGGCAAAAGCCTACAAGGATGAGCGTGTCATCATAAACCCTAAACCCTAAACCCCTAAACCCTAAACCCTAAACCCTAAGCCCTAAACCCTAAACCCCTAAACCCTAAAAGCCTTGGCCGGCATCCTCCACTTGCGCTTTGGTACCTCATCGTGAGGGTAAGTTTGGACACCGTGGCCCAGTCAGGTGCAAGCGCAGCCGGCTGCAACATGATCGGCTCATAAACCTCCTCGCTTTCATCAGCGGAGAGGGTTTAGGGTTTAGGGTTCAGGGGCCCTAAGCCCTAAACCCTAAATTAGGGGTTTCGGCCCTGCTTTAAGCAATCCCGGCATCGAATTGAGGACCCAACCCCACCATTCTCAGGAGTTCGGGCTTCGAGCTGTTCAAACCCTGGGCATCAAAATAGCCCAAAAGCCTTATATATATATATATATATATAGATAGATATATATATATATATACATGTGTATATATATATATATATATATACATGTGTATATATATATATATATATAGTATGGTCGTTGGGCCCCAAAAGCCTTAATATACGAGTCCTTAGATCCTTAAGGAAAGGGACATGTTTTCGGTGGCATGGAACTCAGGGGGTTCCAGGCCCCACTCAGGGCTTAGGCTTCAGGTTGTTAGGCTTGATTCAGGGTTCAGGGTTCAGGGTTTAGGGTTCAAGATCTTAGGGCTTGGGGGTTCGGAGTGAACCAACCCACAGACACAACAAACTATTGGAAAAACCTACCCCCTACTTCGCAACAGCTAGGCGCATCAGCCTGCCTTCATCTCATCCCACTTGGTGATGAGCCCTTGCCTCAGTGGGGTTTTAATTAACCTGCTGTTTTAACGGCTTTTTGTAAAGGGAATCAGAATGAGGAACCCCTAAACCCTTAAACCCGAAGCCCCATGAAGCCCTTAATTAAGCCCCAAAACCCTAATCCGTGAAGAGGTAGGTTCTTTAGGGTTCAGGTAGGATCTGGAACTTAGGACGATCCCTAGTTTCGCTTTAAAACAGACCACATATGAACGAAGCACGAGTTCCTGGTTGAGTTATTGTGTGTTTCCCTTTGTGTCCTTTTGGTAAAGATTTGGCGGCTCTGAGGGCCTAAAGCCTACTCCTCCTTCTTGTTCTCTTCGGGTTTACTATACTGAACTTAGAACTAGAACCCTAGCAACAATTAGAATTTCAGCTGTTTCTTAGGGATTATAAGAACCAAAAATTCAAATTTGTTTCGAAGTACCCCCAAGCTTCTTGTTTTCTTAGAGTTTAAGGTTTGGGGTAGTTTAGGGCTTATAGCAGGTGTTAAGTTTAAGGTTTAGGGTTTAGGGCCGTTTAGGGTTTAGGGTTTAGGGGGTTACCCAGGCCCGAAGACGCAGACCCAATGTCAAGCATGTTCTTGCAGCTGTCTTATCACCTTCCTTCGCATACGCCTGTGAGGCCCCAACTGACTGGAGGGAAGATTTCTCGGGCCTTTTGAACCAGAAAGTGCCGGTGCTCTGGGAGGTTGTCCTCTTCGCGCCTATTCTGCTACACTCAGGGCAAGCTTTGTGGGCATTCACAAGCTCAGCGGCCAGCCACTGCACCCAGCCTCTGCCAGTAGCCCCCGCAGTTTGGCAACCCCACACGAACCCTGTGGGGCACGTTTTACTTCTCCAGCACCAACCCCGCAAAGAGCCGTCTTCAACCTGAAGAGAAGATAGCTCGATACGTTGTGCATCGGAGAAATGTAGCCCAGACCATAGCATAACCAGGTGGCAGACCACAAGAAAACGATCCGTCAACTCGTCGCATTGCAGCACAGCATGCTCCGGCTCACATGGGAGTTTCCGAAAATAGGGATACCGTATTTTAGGGTCCTTACAATAAGGATCCTACTACTATTTGGGGTACCATTTTAGGGTCCCCTATTTTCGGAAACGCCCACATACTGCAAGAAGGGGAAGAGACGCACGACTCTTGGCTGTCTTTTGGTCCTGGTCACAGGATAGTCTGAGAGGTCTGCCCTGGACATCCGACGTGCTCCCACAGAGGCTCTGCTTAAAGGATCATGGGACTTAGTAATTGGGGTTGTAAGTACGGCAACTACTGTTCTAATTATTCATAACCCCAATTAAGGTACCTATAACCCTAATTACTTACTAAGTCCCATGATCGTTAGACTCTAAACCCTGCACCCCTTATTATAGACCCCTTTGAAGGAACCCTGGGCTGCGCTCCAGGAGAGCCAGGCTGACGTGCGCGATCTCGTCCGCACTCAGAGCAGCGCCAGCCCGAAGCTGACTTCAGGGTTTCGGCTCAGCCTTCACGGTTCGGAACTCTGAACCCTAAACCCTAAAGCCTCACTCCTAAAGCCTAAACCCTACACCTACACCCTAAGCTCCAAAACCCCTAAACCCTTGAAACCCTAAACCCCTAAACCCTTGAAGCCCTAAACCCTTGAAACCCTAAACCCCTAAACAATTGAAACCCTAAACCCTTAAACCCTTGAAGCCCTAAAACCCTAAACCCTTGAAACCCGAAACCCCTAAACCCTTGAAAGCGCGGAACCCCAAATCCAAAACTCTAACCCCGAAATTCCCAAAACCCGAAATTCCCTGAAACCGAAACCCCGGAGCCCCACAGTGAACCCCAGATAGTTGGAACATGGGCTTAGGAGGAGAGGTGCCAGGATTCCCCATGATCTACTTAAAGGATCATGGGACTTAGTAATTGGGCTTGTAAGTACGGTAACTATAGTTATAATTACTTATAGCCCCAATTAATAACTTATAACCCAACTTACTAAGTCCCATGATCCTCCAAGTACCTTAAGGGCATGAGGATAATGATGTTCCAACTGTCTGGCTTCCACTGTAAAGTCAGCTCCTGCCCACCATCTGGGTCCGGCACTTTCCATTCAGGGCCTTCCACCCAGATTCGGGCACTTCGGTGTTTTTGGGACTCCGTTCAAGCGAGTTTTAAGATTGGTCTAAGGTTCAAGATCCCTCTTGCACTTAGTAGGTAGTAATCTTAGAGAAATATAAGCAACACAAAAGGGACTCTAATGGGAGCTGTGCTACCGATCGGTCTGTAAAACATCTACTTACTAAGTCAGCCGACCCTCCAAGCCTTTATATAGGAACCTAAACATTAGCGATACAAAATTCTGGAGGTTCCTTAGTATAACTAAAATATAGTTTACCCCAAAAACCTATTCTACTAATGCTATTTTGGGGGATTCCTTAGTATAACTAAAGTAAAATATACCCCAAAGCCCTGTTCTAATTAATACCTTATAGTATGCGGTTGCCGACTTGTCGGGTATCATGGAGAACTAAAGTTTAAGCTTTTGGGTTATCTAGGGATTATATATAGGGACTATACTACCCAAAAAAGGTTCAAGGCTACCTATTCTACTACTAGGAATCTCCCTTGTAGTTCTTTGTTTGGGTTACCTTCTAGGATCCTGAATATAAAACTATCCACTCAGCTACCAGGTTACCTTACAGTAAACCCCATAAAGTTGAAAACCGGATTAAGGCCAAATAGTGCTGGGATTCCCTATGAATTGCTCTTAAGGGTCGAAGCTATTGTGTTTCCAACTTTTGGGTTTCTAATGATGTAAATCCTGCATGACGCATCATCAACCGTATGGGGTTGAAGGCTGGAGGCTGAGGCTTGGTAGTCTCCTCGGAACTTAGTTGCCGAGTTCATTAGCCCAAAAAAAACTTTCAGTTTTAGACAGGGTTTCATTATTGCAGAAAGTCTAAAGTCTATCAACCCAACTACTAAGGGAATAAAACTGGATCGCCCTGGCTCTACCGCGTTTCCGAGAGTCAACAGTTCATATCTGAAGATGACGATACGGATTGTGAAACAAAAAGTGCCTGGATAATGAACATGAGGTTTGGGAGTTATGAGTAGGCGAAGACTGTCAATAAGGATTTAGACTTGATGCTTTCGGTTCTTTAACTTCACAAGCATGCTTGTGGGTAATAGTGAGGATTATGGTGCACTCCAGTCGTTGCAGAAACGGAGATTTTGCACTTCGCCTAGTATTTAGACGCTTTAACTGCAGTCTGAAACAAAGATGACGCTCAGTCCACGACAAACAAGCGGTAGGAAAAGCTGCCAGAATTCGCTTGTTTTCTGCTCGTTTCGTTCTGGGCCGTCATAGGGAACTAAGCTACAAGTCGAGCACGATACACATCTTCCGTGGGTCTTGGTACTTAGAATAGGGGCATTTGGGGTACATTCTACTACAAGGACTAAAAACAGGCGAAACTAACGGTAACTTGTCCGGCTCCTACAGTGAGCATCACCCAAAAGGCCTCAGGGAGGGCCTGTTGCCATGCCATACAAAGCATGTGGAAAGCCTCTCGCTACTTTGAAAGGACAATGCTAAAGGGTTTCGGGTTCAAGGGTTTGGGGTTATGGTCTTTAGTAAAAAAAATATTGGCTGCAGCAGCCGGCCTTGCCACTAGCAGATTGAAGGCCAACGACCTAGCAGCAAGTGGGCTTCGTATTCCTCAGGGTCTTGGACGTGTGTCAATTTACACCACGATGTCTTGTGCAGCATTTTCGTCATGGGCACTGGCACCAGCATGCGACCTACCACTGATGCGATGGTTTCAAGAAAACTTACAAACGGAGGTGGGAAGTACCACCCAGACCACAATGATAACAAACCACCTCACAACCGCGGCTTCAAAGCCTTAGCGAGGCCTCCAATGTGCAAACCACAAGATGCAAAACACCAACACCCCCAAACCGAAACCCTACATATTAAGTACGGCCAAATAGGGCTACTATTAATGTCCTAATGGATCTATATTATGAATACTATTCAACTATTACTGAGTGGGGGCCGTACCCAACCTATATAAGCCCTAAGCCCTAAACCCTAAACCCTAAGTCAGCCCCCACTCCGACATGGTGTAGGGTCAGCTGGACATTCAACAAAACCTTAAGGACGAAATGAACCCTAAAAGGGTTTAAGGTTCATATACCATATAGGGATTCATAGTATATGGGTATAGGGCCCCTACTTTTAAGGGTCACTTGCTCCTTCAGGAACTCTCTCCCCTGTAAGCAGCGCCGAATACCCTATAAACCCAAGAGATATCACTAATACAGTGGCCTTAGTAGTTAGAATAGGGTTTTGGGGCCCCTTGTACTAGAATTAGAATAGGGGACCCCCAAAAATAGTATTGGCACTGTATGAAGCCATGGTGTCGGGTTCTACCACTGAATGCTTCCGTAAGATCCCGACACTCTGTTCCTGCGGCGACCAACTCCAAACGAGCTCGGCTTTTCTTTAGAGACCAAACAAAATTACGCAACTAAAACAAAAATCAAACCCTAAACCCCAAACACCCAGATACCTGACTACACAAGTAAAGCAGCGAAATGTCAGCACCCTAAACCCTGAAAGCTGAACATACAGCCAGGGCCATGAAGTGAAAGTTTTTGAAAGCCACTTCCGGAAGCCTTCGAGCTCTTCAATTTCCATATGTGGGGTTTAGGGTTTAGGGGTTTAGGGTTTAGTGTCTAGGGTTTGAGGTTTGTGAGAGCCAGCAGAAAGTTCAATATTTAGGGTTTAGTGTTTAGGGTTTCGGGGTTAAGGTTTGTGAGAGCCAACAGAGAGCATTACAAAGCCCACAAAACCCAACAAGCCCTTCGCCACCCAGCGAAAAAACACCCAAAACACCTTTAAACCCAAAAAAACCCAAACCCTAAAACCCCGTGAACGCTAAACCCTATGAAGCCAGCCTCCACGCGGTCGCCTGGCTGCAGCGTTCCAGCTTCGGCCTTCGACGAATCTTTGTCGAGCACTTCTGGGGCTGCGGGTGTAGGGTAGTACTACGACGACGACGACTACTACTAACTACCACTACCACTACCAGTACTTAAACTGGTGCAAGATTTCCTCCATCAACAGTAGCACTAGCACTAGCACTGGCACTGGCACTGGCACTGGCACTAGCACTAGCACTACCACTACGACGACGACGACGACGACGACTACTACTACTACTATTACTACTACGGCGACTACGACTACCACGACGACGACTACTACTACGACGATTGCTACTGATGCTTGGGCTGCAGGATAATGAGAAGAAAATGGGGCCTGAACCCTAGAGCCGAAAACCCTAAGTGGGTTCTGGAGTACCAGACTTGAACACTTTGTTGTTGGACCTGTTCCCTACCCCTAAACCCTAAACAGAAAATGGGTGTTGAGGTGCGCAAGGGCTTGGGGCTCCAGGGTTCGAATGCGTGGGCTGGTGGGCTGCAGGAAATCCAAGGGCAAAAGGAGGGACCCTTACCTTACTAAGAACCCCTAGGTATATAAGGGATCAAAAAGGGTTCTATTAAGGGTTTAGGGTTTAGGATTCCTTTAATAAGGACCCCTAGGTATATACCCTTAATATAGCTATTATATACCCATTATATAGCCCCATTATTGGGTAGGGGTCCCCATTAAGGGTCCCTCCTTTTCCCCCTTTGAGGAAACGTCGTCTGAGGATTGGCTTTAGGCCCTCTTCAGCGAAGCCTTCTGCTTAGGGTTTAGGGTTTTGGGGTTTAGGGCTTTAGGGGTTTAGGGGTTAGGGTCCTTCTGCTTAGGGTTTAGGGTTTTGGGTTTAGGGTTTAGGATTTAGGCCCTTTGGCATTTAGCTGGGCTTTAAAGTAACCAGGGAGAGCAAGGTATAGACTTTCATTTCATAAAGGGTTTTGTCAGGAACAGGTCCAACAAACAAGTGTTCACGCATAGTACTCCAGAACCCACTTAGGGTTTAAGGCTTTATACGGTTTAGGGGTTAGCCCTAGATAACCTAAACCCCAAAACCCTACACCCCAAATCCTAAACAGAAGGCGTCGCTGCTGTTTTGTTTTTCGCCTCCTGTCGAAGAGGGTTGCTGAACATGGAGTTTGATGTCCCTGAAACCTCAAGCTAAGTTTGGTTCGTCTTACGGCCGAAAAGCACAAAACCTTGAAGTGGTTACAATGTGGTGGGATACTTTAGCATCAACGTTTGCTGTAGTATTATAGAGGCACCTCTTCGTACGCAAATCTTGTGCCTCGAGGAATGCCACCATGGGCTTGTGCTTTTGGTACTGATGCGGGGAGCTGTCCGCAGTTTATTTCTTGGGCTACCTTGTGAAATTTTGGCTTGGTTTAGGGTTTCGGCTAGAGCCTGCTATGAAGCAGCAACCCAGAGACTCCAAATACCCCTTAATTGAGGGATATTCCTTAAACCATGTTAGGGATCCTACTATAATTTGAGGTATATTCCTTAATTAAGGGATATTGGAGTCTCTCGGAGCTTCGAAAGCTAAAGAAGGTCTTGGACTACCCACCCACCAACACCTGTGCAAAGGCGTGTGCAGTGGGAAGACGGCCTGAACAGACTGAGGAGCTTCATAAACCACTACCTTAGAAGGGGCCCCCACCCTGTAATAGTGAGATAACAGGACTATAATAGGGCCCTAATATAATCCTTAGAGTCACTGGCCCCTTCTAACCACTACCCCTAAAGCCCTAAACCCAAAACATTCTCGTCTCAGGCCGCACGGGCTCTGGGCGGGACCTCGTTCGCAAATCGAGCTGCAGCTGCACCTTGCATGTTAAACTTAGGGTTTTAGGGTTTGTGTGATGAACACGATGCAGCGATGTGTAGAATCCGCTGATTGGGGCAATGATGTTGATGTTGTTCATTATTGAGCAAGCAGATAGAGGGACGAAAGTGCTGGCAATCTCAACAGCATTGCGACTGTGCCGCTCGGAACGACGATGTTGATGTTGTTGATGATGACCCCTAAACCCTAGAACTCCTTAAACCGCTGGTGCCGAAGATAAAGACGGACAGTATGGATCTTCACTATAGTCGTGAGGACAAGTGCTCAACCACAGCACCGACAAGATAAACTTTACCACAGAATGGTGTCATGTCGGAAAATGAAAAATGCATGAAATTCAGAACTTGGTCCCTAGTTACCGAGCAATTTCAGTCCATTTCACCTTCCTACACTGACCTAAACCTCGCGGATCTGACACCTTGACGCCCAAGCCGCTGACTTAGGATGTAGGGTTTTGGGTTTATTGCGAAGTGCCGTTATGGATGCACTTAAACTCTATTCCGTGTAAGAGCAACGACATCGCCGGTGGGTTACTCTTCCTTCTGGCTGAAGTTTCTACAGCCCCAGGGGCCCATGTACCCGTATAGTGAAAACTTTGGCCTTAAATTAAAGTAGTCCCAAAACAACTACTTTAGGGGTCTTTTGGGCCAATGTACGCACTACTTAGGTACATGGACCCTTAGGGCAGTGCTAACCCACTCCTCATGCTCTGAGTCTTGCCCGGGTGGAACTCTTCAACATCAGCATCACCCCAGCCCCCAAAAAGCATAAGCTCCTACGGCCCTAATCTCAGATTTAGGGTTGAGGGTTTAGGCACCCCAAACCCCACAATCATCGCAAACCGTACACCCTCGAAGCGAAACAGTCACGCGAAACCAGCAATTCCGAAAGCAGAAACCCTGACACCTTAACGGCTCCAAAACCCCTGTGGGGAATTTGCCTACTAAACCCAGCGCGACCCTGAATCATAGCAGCTTACACACCTCCGAAGGCCCTCAACCCCCAAAAACCTAAAACCTAAGCCAAAGCCGTAATCTTCAGCTCAAAAACTAAAACCATACAAGCAGAAAAGCATAGACAACCTGCCTAAACCCTAAACCCTAAACCCCCAAACTTTAAACCCTAACCCCTAAACCCATAAGCTCCTTCACTCCGAGCCTGCGTCCCTTGCGGATTTCTTCCGCCGGTCGTCTCTTACTCGCTCGCCCTTCAGCATAGCTTCCAGGGCCTCATCGGATCTTCAATAAGGGACTTTAGGGTTTAGGGGTTTAGGGTTTGGGGGTTTAGGGGAATTCAAGAGAGGACTTTAGGGTTTACTTAAAGGAGCATGGGACTTAGTAATTGGGGTTATAAGTAAGGTAACTACAGTTATAGTTATTTATAACCCTCATCGAATCTTCAAGAGAGGACTTGACGGTTAAGGGGCTTAGTGTTTGGGGGCTTTAGGGTTTGGGGGTTTAGGGGTTTAGGGTTTTAAGTTTGGGTACCCTAACACATGGACAAACATGGTTGCAACAGGGCAGTAAGCCCGAAAACCTAAACCCCTAAAGCCTAAAGACTAAATCCTTTCTGCCAGGTGGCTTCTTACGCTGTGTCGCCAAAGGCTAGCTCTCTGAATGCCCAAAGCGCAACGAGTCCTCTTCACATGTTTCTTCCACCGCCTAACTCGGTGGTATAAGCCCTAAACCCTTAAACCCGAACTATTTAGGGGTTTACGGCTTAAGGTTTAGGGTTCAGGGGTCTCGGGGCTTAGGGAATAGGGGGTCTCTGGGCTTAGGGGACATGCAGCCTTACACCCCACATGTTGGGATGCAGGACTTTTTGTCCGGATTTTTTTTAGGGTTTAGGGTTTAGGGTTTAGGGGAGTTGACGGGTGATGGGTTTAGGATTTTGGGGTCTCCTGGAAATGGTCATGCAAAAACTCCCAGCATGAAAGGCATCGACATTCCCAGGAATCCCGAAGCCTGATCTAGGCAACCCCATGAATATCTACATGGTGATGTCTTGAATGAAAAGCTCTTCTAGGGGTCTTGGTAGTACGGAACCTACTGCTGAGGGCTATTGAATATTAGGCAATAAGCTCTCTCGAACCCTCATTGACTTGAAGGAAGTGTGTACTGGAGGCTCCTGAATGCTATCCTCCTCTCCCCTGACAAGCATTACGCGACTTGCGATTAGGGCGCTGCAAGAAGGGGGTAGCGTGCAAGGAGTCAGAAATGGGGGGGGGTCGGGGTTTGGGTCAGGGCTTGGGGGTGTATTTACACTAGATATAAGTTCCACTGACTCCAGTCCGCTCCCATCGGTATAATGAGGGCACGCCCACTTCCGGCCCACAGTTTTTATGAGCTTAAAGAATAAGGATACCGAGACCTAAACCCCGAGCCCTCACATGCCGAAAGGAAAAGAAGCAACGATAGAAGCCGTGCACTGCCACCTATGCAAAGAAACGGAATTTTCTTTCCTGAGTCATCTGACTGCTCTACATTCGGAATATACGGGTTTCAGGTAGTATAACTAAGCCTACACCCCCGAAACCTTGAACCCCAAACATTAAACAACCCCTCAAGACAACCCTAAACCCGAAGCCCTAAATCCTAAGCCCTAAACCCTAAGCCCAAAGCCCTAAGCCCAAAGCCCTAAACCCCGAAAACCAGTGTTTTCCTCAAGACAACAGTGTTGGGTCTCCCTGGTAGCTTCGGAAATTCGCCTCCTCCGGATTTGCACCACCCGACGATCGCTTCCGCTTCTTTTTCTTCTTTGAGCGGGAACTGCTAGAGCCTGGGTTAGGAGACTTTAGGAGTTTAGGGTTTAGGATTTAGGAGTTATATAAGAGTTAGGGCTTGGGGTTAGGAGAGTTTAGGAGTTTAGGGTTTAGGGCTAGGAGTTAAGAGTTAGGGTTTAGGGTTTGGGGTCTAGGGCGTTGGGTTGTAGGAGTTAAAATCAAGGGGGCCCTTGGGGATATAGACCCTTCAGTAAGGCTCCTTTTACGAGAGGCAGAAATGTTGTTAAGACGCGTCCTCCTTAAGGGGTCTCCCTAATACTACCTCGGATGGGTTCTAATCGCAGCTTAGGGTTTAGGGTATCGATACGGTTTAGGGTTTCGGGTCTAGGCAATCAGATTTTAGGGTTTAGGGAAACTAACAGAGGTCGAGGGTTTTGAAAGGATTCCTTAAACAGGATCTCTGCAGGGATCTGTACGGATTTAGGGCTTACAGCCCCGAGGGTTTATGGGGCTTGGGGTTTGAGTAGATGGGGTCCAGAGCTCAGAGTTCGAGCTATAGGGTTTCGGATGCATCTTGTATGGTTTGTTTTCTATTTTCACAATATTTACGATTTTAGAAAGTTTGGTTCTGAGTTTAGGGTCAGGGTTGTGAATTAAGTTCTGCTGCATGTACCACACAGAGGCTGGGGGGATGTTTTGTAGGGTGAGAAAGGATGCAGAAAGGATGCAGGCCCTAGACCCTGACCCCAAACCCAAAACCGTAATGTAAGGGGCCTTAATAAATAGAATAGCGTTTGGGGTCCTTTGTAGATACTATATGTAAAATGAGGAACCCTAAGGACTAATATTGGTAATGATGTAGGCTTCTATGTTAATCATGTATGCTTCCATACTGAACTTGAGCCACGGGCTCGGGAAGACAAATCCTGTCCACGCCCCCGATTTGCGGCACTGGCATGTGGAGCCGACACAAACGAAGCATGGCTCCCTGCACCAACCTTGAGGGTCCATGTACCCAAATAGAGCTCCTTTTACGGGTATAACAAGGGTTCTAGTAGGGGTACCATAAGGGTTCGGGGTTTAGGATTTAAAGCTGTGTGTCCGAAATAGCAAAAAACTTTGGCCTTAAAGTAGTCCCGATATAGGTACTTCAAACTTCTAAACCCGGAAACCCTAAACCCTAACGCCTAAACCCCGCCCCAAGTGTCGCGCTGGAGGAGCCGGAGCCCTCATCGGCCGCCTTGTCCACGAAGCTTAGGTTCGCAGGCCTCACGGGGCTTCGCAAGAAGGGTCCTTAAGGGTCCCTTTAACTATACTGACCTTAGAACCCTAGCAAAAATTACAATTTTAGCTGTTTCTTAGGGATTATAATAACCAAAAATTAAAAACTATTTCTAAGTACCCCTAAGTTAAGGGATCTACAGGGGTACCATAAGAGTTTAGGGTTTAGGGTCTACTTGGAGGATCACGGGACTTGTAGGGATGCTCTTTCTTGGGTCCGATTTCGGGGTTATTTAGGGGTTTAGGGTTTTAGGGGTTTACGTGTTGAGGGTTGGTTTTAGGGGTTGGAGTTAGCGGTTTAGGGTTTAGCCTAGGGTTTAAAGGCTTACAATTTTATCAGGTTCCGGGGTTAGCATGGCTCTTTAACAGGTTCTTTACAGGGACCAAAATTTTCTCGAAAGGGGATGTATATGGGCTCCATAACGGCATTCAATCTTTTTGGTGGCTTTCACTTGCCGCTTCAGGGTTTAAGGCTTTCCGTAAACCCAAGCCCCACTACTCGGAGGATCATGGGACTTAGAAAGTAGGGTTATAGGTACCTTAATTGGGGTTTTAAGCAATTATAACTGTAGTTACCTTACTTATAACCGCAATTGCTAAGTCCCATGATCCTCCAAGTAGTAATTGGTGTTTGAGGGTCTTCAGGGTGTTTGGGTACGGGGAACAGGTAAGGCGCCCGGGTGAAGCCCAATACAATGTAGCCCAAGGAGTCCTGTTCAGGGTTTTAGGGTTTTGGGGCTTAGGGCTCGAGCCTAAAAAAGTACCGAAATTTACAAAAATAGTATACAAGCCAGACTCATGCTGCAGGATTTGCGGATATGCCTTGATTTTGTTCCAGCCGTTTTGCGTACTCAGGATCCTTGGGGGTGCACAGGGACTCCAATATCCCTTAATTAAGGAATATACCTTAAATCATACTAGGGATCCTACTATTATTTGAGGTATATTCCTTAATTAAGGGATATTGGAGTCTCTGGGTACATAGGGCTTCCGTCTTTAGGGTTAGGGTGTAGGTTGACGGGTTACACTTCAAGAGAACATGCAGCTGCCCGGCAAAGCTCAGCGGAGGCGCCTTTTTCAAGTGACTTGCCATATTATGTCCCTGAGACTCCAAATAGCCCAAAGTAGGTAGTATTTATAGACTTTAGACCCCAAAATAGGTAGTATTTGTATACTTGGAGTCTTAGGGTGTAAGCCACCAGGGACTTTCTGAATTTTTGGAGGTCCTTATAGCCAGGATCCTACCATCTCGTAGTTTACAAAGGGATCCAAGATTTTCTGAAAATCGTACGGTCAGCTGCATACTGGACATAACCCCACACCGATGCAAATGGGAATTTGTGTGTACAGCTGTATACAAAAAACAGGTTCAGGGCTGAAGGTGTTGAAACGAACTGTTCGTTACTGTTGATGGTAGGTATAAATCCTGCACGTATGTCACCCGAATCAAATACTCCGAGACCCTAAAACCTTAAACCCTGAATCCAAACCCTAAACGCTACGTACTTGAACACCCTGAACCCTAATTCCATACCCTAGACCTTTATTCCAAACCCTAAACCCTAAATTTAAGCCTAAGCTATGTCCTCAAGATTCCTGAGCCCGAGCTGAGGACCTAAATCACGAGCCCTTTATATGCAGAACCGAAACCTACTGTTGATGATATAAACCCTGCATTACCTTAAAGACCCTAAACTGTGGGAATTATGGGATATTCCTTATTATGGGTAATGCAGGATTCATATCATCAACCGTAGTACCCTAAATCCTAAGCGTAAATCGAAACTACCACAAGCGATCAAAGTCGTAATAAGAAGTTAAAAGATCCAGATTCGGAGCGACTAAGAGCAATGGTAAATGGAGAGCGAAATGCTCATACAAACTGCCATCACGATACGATTATTCATAACGCTAGCAGCAAAAAAAAACATTAAGCATAAACGCATACAGCTGCAACACGATAACAGGAAGAGCCCTGCGAACCTCACCGAGACCACCTCTTTGGTGTCCTCCATCTCGATCGTCCATCGACCCTTGCGCTAATAGGGTGTTCGGAAAAGAAGCAGGCAAGATGGAACTATTGAGGGGGGAACTCACACAATTCAAGCGATTCTCGAACCCTGACAGCAACCTCGACACTCCAACTTAAAGGAACAACTTAACAGAATCGTTGAAGAACATTTAGATTTAGAATGCCCATAAGTCAAAACTCTAAGCCCGAAAACCGAAACCTTAAACCCTGAACCCTAAACTTGAGGGCCTTGTCTGCGAGAAACTCCTTCGTGATGCCCACGCGCTCGTTGAGTTTCCTGTGGAAAAATGAGCCCTGGGGCTGCAGTCACTCAAGTAATGGCCTACTGCGTTTTCATTTTTCATGGTTCGTTATGGTTAGTAACCTGCTATATAAGTAACTCTTGGAAAACTCTAAACCAAAAATTCACTTTACTGGCCCAGGTTTCGGAGTAGGGATACGTATGGAATTTGGGAGAACAAGTATTTTGGGTACTTGTTCACTCTGGAACAGAGCTCAAAAGTCTGAAACTCTGAAACTCTAAACCAACATCGAAACCTTACAGTAACCCTTAAGCGAACCCTTATACTACTATTTGCTTAAGAAACCACCAAAAAATAAAAATAATAATCCGTATAATACCCCCATAAGGAATATGTTTTTTTAATTTTTGGTGGTTCTTAAGCGAATAGTAGTATAGTAAACCCGAACTCCTAATTCCCTACACTAAAGACGCCTGCCCTGGAGCTCCTCCCCGCTTCTGACTCGAGGCCGCTCACCTCTTCAGCAGAGATCTGCTTTGGGTTTATCAAAGGGGAAAAGGAGGGACCCTTCATGGGGACCGCTACCCTATAACGGGGCTATAGACTGGGTATAAGATATCTATATTGAGGGTAAATACCTAGGGGTCCTTCTTAAGGGTCCCTCCTTTTACCCTTGGAGTTTAGGGTTCAGGGCTTTTGGGTTTGAGGGTTTCGGGTTTAAGGCAAATCCAAAAAAACTCCCGACATTTGCAACAACATCCAGTCCTCTGAGCTCGAAGCCCCAAAAGCAACTTGAACCTCAAACGCCCAACATCGAACCCTACTAAACCCCAAACCCTAAACCCCTCCTAAACCCTAATGCCTCCAAAACTCTAAAACCCTCCTAAACCCTAAAGCCTAAACCCTACTAAACCCTTAATATACCCTTAATATAGCTGTTATATACCCATTCTATAGCCCATTATAGGGTAGGGGTCCCCATTAAGGGTCCCTCCTTTTCCCCTTTGACCCCAAAGCCCCAAAGGTTCGAAGAAAAGTTCCTCGTCTCACGGGCTGTGCATTCTCAGAGTAACCTAGAGGCTCCAAAGTAGTTCCTTTTTGGGGGTTCATATTTAGATTCCTATAAGGTAATCCCAAAAAGGAACTACTATGGAGCCTATGGGTAACCAGGCTTAGAGTTGTTTTCGAGTTTCGCGTTGAGGGCGAAGGGTTTTTCAGTACTGAAGGGTTTAGGGTTTAGGGTTTGGGGTTTAGGGTTTGGGGTTTACGGTCTAGGGTTTAAGACTTCACACCTATGCCCTGAACCCTTATTGAGTCCTTAGCACACTGCTTATTTCTGAGTTTAGGGTTGAAGGCCTACCCTAAACTCTAAAATCTTAACCCTAAACCCTAAACCTTTACGATCTACGTATTCCCTGACCGCCTCCGTAACACCTACACCCTCAACTCCACCGTTTTAACCCTATAAACTCTAAAACCTTAAAGCACTACTAGACAGGGAAACCTTGACTCCAAAACCCTGAACCTTTAAGACCTACTTGGAGGGGCAGGAGACTTAGTAAGTAGATTATAAGTACGGTTCTAATTGGGGTAACTCCATTTAAGGTGATTATAAGTAGGGTTCTAATTGGGGTAACTCCGTTTAAGGTGATTATAAGTAGGGTTCTAATTGGGGTAACTCCATTTAAGGTGATTATAAGTAGGGTTCTAATTTGGGTAACTCCATGTAAGGTACTTATAACTCTACTTGTCACCTACTTACTAAGTCCCCTGCCCTTCCAAGTACGTATCTCTGACCGCCTCCACCCTTTCTCCAGCTTGGAAGACATGGCCGGAGGCATCGGCACCACCAGCAGACTCCGGCTTGGGTCCTTGGAACTCTTGAGTGAAAAGACTTAGGGTTTAGGTTTTGGGGTTTGGGGTTGCGGGTTTAGGATTTAGCGATTACTTCGCAGGGTTTAGGGCTTAGGGTTTTGGGCCTAGACAGCCCACTTTATCATGCCCCAAAATCCCACTATTAAGGGACCATAAGGGCTCCATTTAAAGGGCCATTGGGGGTTCTGGTAGGGTTTAGGGTTTAGGGTTTATCTGCCGACCCTGGCGGCGTGTTGGATGGGTTTCGATGGGCTTGGAAGGTGTTAACCTCCCTTTTTCCCTCCCCCCCCCTCCCCCCCTGCCCGCCTCCCCCCCTCCCCCCCCCCTCTCCCGCCCCCTTTCCGCCCGCACCCGCCTTGCCTGCTTCTTCCTCTTTAAAGGTGGAGGGTTGCGCATTAGGATTAAGGGTTGAGGGTTGTAGGGTGTTCGGTTTAGGGCTCAGGAGAAGCAAGGCTAACGTGCAGTGCAGGGTCTTGAAGTGGCAAGTGCATTCGGCTTCTGGTCTGTCGCCCACGGGGTCGGCGGCTTGAGCCGGAGGCTCTTAAATCGGGCAGCGCTTCGCTGCCCTGTATGGACTGAGCTATGGCTCAGACGAATGAGCTTCGTCTGCGAAGCAGAAGCCACGACCGACAGTGCCGCCGACCCGCCCCGGACCCCGCATCATCGGACCCTGGTTTCTCCCTTGGGCCGCGCGGGCCCTGGCCCGGAGGCGTCTCGGAACGCCCACGCGCTTCGCAGCCATTCCCCACGGCATGGCGGGTTTCGGGGCCGCCGTGGACGACCCCAGGAGGCGAGCCGGCGAGCATCATGAGCACTCGGGCGCCCGCAACCGGCCCCGCGGCGCCAAGTGGGCGCGAAGTGATGATTTCCAAGTTTTTGCGTGGGTTGCGGAAGCCCCAAACGGGCGCGCATCATCAGCATCAGCGGGGTCCGGCGGAGGGCGGATGCGGGCTACATGGAGGGCCGACGAGGGCTAACAGCGTAAGATCACCCACAAGTTGTGAACTTCGGGCCTACGTCACACTTTTGTTCCGGTGTCGAGCTGTCGTTGTCTCGGCACCGTCTGGAAATGTTGACCGTGTCTTTCCCGTTCCCCCGCTACATCCGCTGACAACAACTCGCGCTGCCCGCACCTGGGCGCAGCCCCTAGAATTGTGTAAGATTTGGGGTTGGGGGTGTGGGGCCTGCGTCCTTGTTTAGTGCCGTCGTTCGAGGATCGCTAGAACTCCCAATGCGTTGAGTAAGCAAGGCTGTTCTGCACATGTTTTAAGAGTCTTCGTAAGTCTTATGGTGTTTTGTAGGGCGTCTAGGATTTGAATGTGTTGTACTGTGCCCCTGAAGTACAGAATTGCTTGCGTAGATGAGGCCTGGCTCCCCAGACAGCTCCTGCTGTCAGAGTCCAAATGTGGGGTACTTGTGCTTCAACTTCTAACGACCTACTTGTCGGGTATCATGGGGAACTAAACGTTAACCTTTTTGGCGATATAGGGATCATATAGGGGCTATACTCCCCAAAAATGGTTAAACTATGCTGAACTTAGAACCCTAGCACAAATTATAATTTTAGTTGCTTCTTAGGGATTATAATAACCACCTCTGAGTAAAGGTTACCTACTCTACTACTAGGACGAGCGCACTGTGTCTCCCGATCCACTGAGCAAAGCCTCTCCAGGGCTTTCACGGCTGCGGAGAAAAATGTACTGGTCCATGTCTGTTACGTTGTGGGCGGGAGCCCTTATGTCCAGAATACACATGGGTGGTTCTCAAAATTATGGCCCCTTTTAGGTACCTTTTATAATGCGGCACTGATTATTTAGGGTACCTAAAAAGGGACCCTAATTTTGACAACCATTCACATGAAGCCCCAGGGCCCAAACTGGCAAAGCCAATGCCGGATGTAGAGTGTACTTGGAGGGTCGGGGGACTTAGTAACTGGTTATTTTACGGAGTTATAAGTACCATAAGCCCAATTACGGTCCCTTTTAGGGTACTTATAAGTCTACTTACTACCCACTTACTAAGTCCCCCGACCCTCCAAGTAGGGCAGGGGGAGAGTCCCGCTTCCATCTGCTGGCCGAGTCACCCTTTTTCAAAAGCTCGAGGGAGCTGCTTAAAGGATCATGGGACTTAGTAATTGGAGGGTATAAGTAAGGTAACTACAGCTATATTTACTTATAAAACCAATTAAGGTACTTATAACTATATTTACTTATAAGCCCAATTTAGGTACTTATAACTTATAACCTTACTTACTAAGTCCCATGATCCTCCAAGTGGCGCTATTGAAGCTTTGGAGGGCGGTTCTCAATTCTGGTCGCTTTGAGATCCTGCTGAAAGTTTGGGAGTGGCAGTGGTAGTAGTAGTAGTAGTAGTAGTAGTAGTAGTAGTAGTAGTAGTACTAGTAGTAGTAGTAGTAGTAGTAGTAGTAGTAGTAGTAGTAGTAGTAGCAGTAGCAGTAGCAGTAGCAGTATTCGCAGTAGTAGCAGTAGTAGCAGTATTAGCAGTAGTAGCAGTAGTAGCAGTAGTAGCAGTAGTAGCAGTAGTAGCAGTAGTAGCAGTAGTAGCAGTAGTAGCAGTAGTAGCAGTAGTAGCAGTGGTAGCAGTAGCAGTAGTAGCAGTAGTAGCAGTAGTAGCAGTAGTAGCAGTAGTAGCAGTAGCAGCAGTAGCAGTAGCAGTAGCAGTAGCAGTAGCAGTAGCAGTAGCAGTAGCAGTAGCAGTAGCAGTAGCAGTAGCAGTAGTAGTAGTAGTAGTAGTAGTAGTAGTAGTAGTAGTAGTAGTAGTGGTAGTAGTGGTGGTAATAGTAGTAGTGGTAGTAGTGGTGAATGAACGGTCTGAATCCCATCTAAACTCCGCATACAGCCCTCAACCTAGACCTCAGAATCGGGTTTGGGGGTTCCTTACTAGAATTGTAGTACAGGATCCCCCACTTTGGCGGCAACCACCCCTTTCCCAGAGGCCCCACGCCCGCAAACCTTTTACAGAGGGTCATCGGGCCTAACCGCCTTGAAGCATGGACGCCTAGAGCTGTAGGCCTTTAGGGTTTCAGAGAGCTTTCCCTTAGGAAACAGAAGCTGCGAACCGAAACCCTTTGACTTGGCCCTAAGCACCTGGATCTGTAATCTCGCCACTTCAAGCCTCACTTCAACCCCAAGGCACTCAAACCTGTACTAGAGCAAGCATTCTCTCGTACTCCTGTGCTGGCGAAGACATGTGGGTTTGGGGTTCTGAGTCTGCCTTGGGGCTAGGGATGTTGGGCGCTTGGGGTTGCTATAGTTCGGCAGAGATGCCGCTTTCTGCAGGCTGCTGCTTCAGGTTGTCTGGCCTCGCGCACAGAAGGGAAGTTCTGTCTGCGGGCAATGTAGACCCCCAGGTTTAGGGTTCAGGGTATAGGGCAAACCCCAAAAACGGATTGCCATAGGGATCGTAGTGCTAGATAAGACCCTTCCTGCATGGATTACTGGGCTTGCACTACTTGGAACAGGAGCTGCTGCACTCAAAATCGCTACCAAAAACGCCTAAGCCTGAAAGGACAAAACGTGCGAAGCCGGTCAGCCCCCGATCGACAGGAACGCCCCAAGCTGTGACAACTTTGATAGCAGAAACACTCAGTGCTGAGGCCCAAACAAGTGGCCTGGGCTCTTGTTCAGTTACCATAACCAAGAGAAGCCATATTATCTGCTAAAGATTCCTACGATGGTAGCTTATAAATCAGAATCCTTAACAAGAGCCCAGACTAGCTGTCTGCGGGCCCAAAATATATCCTCACAGCCTACTGTAGCGTACTGACTCGCACTCAACAGAGCCTGGTTGAGCCTCCAAACATCGAACCTGTCAACACCTTGTTTTGGGTGGGGCGTACTTGAAGGGGCAGGGGACTTAGTAAGTAGGTTATAAGTAGGGTTATAATTGGGATAACTCCATTTAGAGTACTTATAACTCTACGTATCACCTACTTACTAAGTCCCTGCCCTTCCAAGCGGGGTTCTCTGATTCTCAACTTTATATACAGAGCCCACACCCCAGAGTCACAAGGATCGCAGCCAAAGATCTGAATCCCTCGAAAAAACCGAAGTCGAGAGCTTCCACCCTGGCCCTAAACCCTCCACCTATACCCTAAACCCTAAACCCTCCACCTCTACCCTAAACCCTAAACCCTCAACCTATACCCTAAGGCCGCGAAGGCCCAAAATCCCCAACACTTCAAACTCAAAACCCCCTGAAACTCAAACCCCTGAAACCCTAAACTCTAAACCCCAAAAGCCCAGCCCCTAAACCCTAAACTGAAACTCTAACCCCTAAAACCCTAAACTCCAAACCCTGAAAGCCCAACTCCTAAACCCTGAACCCTTTACCCCTAAAACCCTAAACCCTCACCCCTCAACCCCGAAGTCTTAATTACTTGGAGGTTCATGGGTGGGTTTAGGGTTTAGGGTTTAGGGTTAGTTCTAAGCGGGCTTATAAGTAAGGTACCTAAAGCTTTAACCCGTATTAAGGGACTTATAACTCCACTTATAACTCCCATGAACCTCCAACTAAACCCTAAGCCCTAAACCCTTATAGTACCCTTATAGATCCCTTAAAGGGACCCTTAACCCCCTACTTACTAACTCCCGTGAACCTCCAACTACCCTCCTTGGCACCGGGCTTAAGGCTGACGACTTTGTCGGGAGCCAAAGTGACCTGGCAAACTCTGGCTAGAAGTACCCAAATTGAGATTATAAGTACCTTAACCTACCAAACCCTACTTTTTGTAGGGTCCCTATAAACTCCATATTAGGGTTTATAATAAGAACCTACAAGTTGGGATTATCACGCTTTTCACGCTTTTGGGGCTTAGACTCCAAGCGGTCGCGGCCCTTGGGGGCACCGAATTAACTGAAACAGAGACTTAGGTCCGGGCTCACTCGCTGTTGCACAAAATGTGCGCTCTGCTCGATTCCTTCAGGCTCAAGCTCGGGATCTCAAACAATTGAGAGAGAAAGGGGCGAGAGCAAGTGGGGAAGAGGAGGCAAGCGGGAACTCCACGGGCCCAAAGTCGAAGGGCAAATCGAACCAGATCACCCTGGAGGGTCATGAGGAGTAGTTGGCGATGAAAGGTGGCCGGCGGCACATGGATCGACGGACAGTCGCGGAATCCGTTCCAGTCGCTGAGACACAATTCAAAGGCTACATCCTCGAAGGGACCATCCATGAAGGAGAGAGACTCCCCCTGCTGCAAAGAAGCAACACACTCCGAGAAGGGGAATAAAACCCGTCTCTGGTCATTCAGGGTCGCACACCAGTCATCAGGGCCGACCGAGACGGTGGTCTGCTCACAAGACGGAGGTAGCGGTCTCGGCAGGCGGATAGCTGCGACTTCTAGGGCATCAAGCACAAGAGCTCCATCACGGAAGGTGCAGACCGAGTCAGGGGCAGGATCCGAGGCAGGGACGATCCACTCCACAAGGTCAGCGGTAGGCACCCATTCCAACACCCGCCGCAAGGGCGTCGCAATGTCCAATCGAAGGCGGGGGAGCTCTGTTTCCAGAAAAGTCTGGGCCGTTATGCGAAGTCGCCGAGTAGTGGTGCAGACACTTGCAAATGCCAATCGGGTCTGCTCCCAGATGGCGGGCTCGTTGGTCGGGTCAACATCGGTACCCACCCATCGAAGGCAATCCAGAATTTCAGCAACAGGGCGGTCAGTCTCATCAATCCATGCCGTGGAATCCAAGGGAAGTGTGGGTCCCGCGGCTTGTAGGACAGGGGTCTGACATCGTCCGGCATCCTCTCCTTTGGTACTGCCTTGTCCGGGTTCAATCGGTGTGTGGTGCCCTGTCACCTGTAGGCTTTTACGGCATGAAGTGCTGTAGGCCAGATGTTTGCACAGTTTTAGGTTGGTCGCGAAATGTCTAAGACACTTCTGGCATTGACGACCACTAAGGACGCCTCGTCCAACTGTGCATCGTCCATGAGTTTTGAAGGCATGTACAGACCAGGCCTGAAGGCAGGGGAAGGTCTGTCTACACGGTCCACAACATTCTCGAGCATCCCAAGCATCGAGTGTGGGCTCAAGGAGAATTCCTCCTGCCGCCCGCAGCTGCCTGGCGAGGAGTCCCTGGTGGTATGTCCCCGCGGACTGCCAGGCCTCCCTCCGAATAGCCCTCTGCTGGGCTTTGCAAAGGAGCCTCTTCCAGCGGCCTGGATTGTGTTGAATAATCTCAGCCCACTGGGGCCAGAGACGGCACGGATCACAAGTGGCACGGTCTCCCTCGAGGAGCTCTCCCAGCCATTGGAGAGAGGAGCGAGCCGCAGAGAGCCACGCCTGTTCCGCATGTAGGAGGGCCCATAACTCAGGTATAGGGTCCGTAGCACAGGAGGCAAGGTGTCTGAGGCGCGAGAGGTGAAGGTGAGTGCCAATGGTGGGCAGGCCGGTGAGGGCGTAGACACGAAGCGGCCCTAGTTTCCGGGCTTGCATGACATCGTATGTTGGTCTCAACAAGCTACATGCCATCTGAAAGTAGGCTGTGGATAAGCATTTCTCTTCAGCATCGCTCAAAGTCGGCCATGTGCCCGCACCATACAGTAAGATGGAAAGCACAAGGGAGTCGAAAAGAACGACCTTATCTGAAACTGAGACAAAGCGCGATGCGAAGATGCGCTTACGTCTCTTATTAAAAGCACCCCATGCCATGGCAACCCTACTGCGCAGCTCGCGAAGAAGAGCACCGGTATGATGGAGCAGTCCACCAAGATGGCGATAACATGGAACCAGTTGGACAGTAGCCCCTGGCCAGAGTCGGCTAGCGGCGGGGAGGGTAGGAGGGTCATTACGGAAGAGCTGGGTGCGGATGATCTTGGATCCTCTCCCCACAACCGCTATAATCGCCTCTGTTTTGCCACGGTCGAGGTTTGGCAGAAGGGCCCGCCCTAGGCACCCGTCAAGGAGAAACCCTAACGTTTTGCTGACCTTCGGAGGAAGGTCGGTCGCCTCATTGGAATGAAGGACGAGGGCAGTGTCATCCATCCAAGTGCTGTCAAGGATGGGTAAATGGCTGCCGTTAGATGGGGGGGAGTGCCAGGGATTGGCTAACACATCCTCACCCCAGGGTACGGTGGTAATGCCAACCTCCTTGTCGACGCGATCTCGCACTTGATGCAACACCCTGGCGAAGACAAAACTAAAGACGATATCGGCGAGATTATCGCCTGGTCGGGTTCCGATACCGGTTTCGGTAACAGTTTCGTTATGCTCGAAGCGGAACCACGTATGGCTCAAGGCCTCTGAGGTTGCCGCCGACAGCCATGGAGAGGCACCAGCAGCCTCGAAGAGAGTCTGGGACTCTAAATATGCATGGAGTTCGTGCATGACCTCAGGGGGTAAATGCACCTCCTTGACAATGGCAGCTATGTCAGTGTCAGACCCACTAAAACCAACAACTAGCGGCCTCATAATTCGATAAAAGGCTTCGCGGAGATCAAGGAAAATGATTCCCAATGACCATCCACGATCCTTGGCTAGCTGCTGGAAAACCCGCACCACGTGCGATGCCATTGTGACTGGCCTCTTGGGCAGGCCCCCAAGCTGAAAAGCCGTTGCGGCACTGGTCAAGGCAGGGACGTTTTTCTGGCGCAGAATTTTGTGATAGGCCTTCCCTATTACGGAAGAAACCAGGATGCCTCTATGGGAGGAACATAGTTGTGGCGCAGCCTTGCCTTTCCACACTGCGTACAAAGAGCCACCCTTCCAATGAAGGGGTTCTTCAACTCTCATGGCACACTTAAGGACCAGGGAATAGAGTGCTTTTGCGGCAGGGCCTGGGGCGGCATGCACGGCTTCAGCAGGAATGCTGTCGGTGCCAAACGCGCGATGTAGTTGCGTGCCCCGGAATGCAGCTTCAAGGTCACATCTCGTAGGCACATCATCTGCCGTGATGGCCAGACAGTCTAGATCCCGTTGCTGCTGGGTCTCAATGCAGGCACGCGCTAAGGCTTGTGGGGTGCGGCGTTTACCTCCCTCAATGCCCGAAGGTTGGGATTATAAGTACATATAAGCGTAGTTACCTTAATTATAACCCTGGCTACGAAGATACGTGCTTGTTTTTTTGAGCTCCTTTTCCCAGAGGCTGCAGTCTGCGACTCTTAGAAGAGGGCCTTCAAAAGGCCAGGAGAGACGGCCCACTTTCGGCACGTCAGAACCCTGAGGACAGATAGGGTTTAGGGTTTAGGGTTTAGGGCTTATAGGGTTTATAGGGTTTAGGGTTTACGGTTTAGGGTGGTTTACCAAGACCCCAAGTACCCCTAAATACGCCGTAAACCGTTTATGACAATCTTGAAAGCCCAATATGCAAGACTTTAGATCAGGAGACTGCTAAGCAGGTATGGTTGGATTAGTATATAGTATTTTCTACATCGATATAAAAAAACATTACTGTGTAGCAGTGCTGTTCGGTGCCCTGTTGGGGGTTTCAGCCCTGCTTCCCCAGAGAGCTCAGCTGCTGAGAGCCGGTGGCTTCCATTGTCATGTAAGGTTTAATAAGCAATAGGAGTCTTACTAAGAATGGTAATGAAATAGTAACAAGGAATATTACTCATCATTGTAATTACTTGAGGGAAAAGGGATCGGGGGTTTACGCTCCGGTACGGTTGGGTTTGCTGTTTGGAGGTTTAGGGTTTAGGGCGTACCTTGAGCCCTGAAAACCCGCAACAGCTGCTCCAACAGAGGGAAACAATTTTCAAGCCCAGAACAATGGAAGCTCAAGCCTAAACCCTGGAACCGTAAACTCACCCCTTTATAACCCTAAAGCTTGGGCAGTAAGCCCCCTGCATTCCCACCAACCTCGTGAAGGCTTGGAAACTATCCAAGTTTTTGGGGTTCAAGGTTTAGTGGCTGGGCTTTTTGGAGCCTAGGAATTTTGAAGTGCCCTGGGGCACGATTTCTCATCTGTCATGGCCAGATGTTCAACCGGAAAGCCCAAACAGCTTTTACAATCGGCACTGGCCACCTGGTATCGGCCCTTCTCCTCCAAAAAGCCAGCAATGTGCCCGACCTGCAGAGATACACGACCCAGTGTACAGCCACGGCAATGGCAGCGGCTACCACAACAGCAGCGGCAAAAGCAACAGCACCAGCAAGAGCAACAGCATCCAGGTTGGACATGGGAAACTCAAGGGCTCTTTTTTATAGGATCCTTAAGGGAGGGTGGTTCAAGGGGGGACTGTAAGGGAACCTTAGGGAGTACTAGGGAGAATTAGGGATCGGTAGGCTATATACCCCCCTTGGACCCCCCTCCCTTAAGGATACTATAACTCTTCATGGCCTTTCAACGCCCCTGTCGTACCCCTACATAAATCCTAAACCCCGAGGCCACCCCCCCTATCAGGCTCTTATCAAGGAACCCTAAAACAAATCCCAACCTCAAAACCCTAAACCCTGTAACCACCAAGACCCTGGCCCCAGGAGCTGATACAAACCCTTTCTCCTGACTTCCAAAACCCCTAAACCTGCCTAGAACCATTTAGAACTTGCGGTTTAGGGTTTAAGGTTTAGAGACTAGAGGCATCTTTGCAGACCCTAATAAAAGCCAGCCCAAACCCTTTCTAGAATCCAAGACGAAACCCGTCAAGTATTCCTTACAGAACCCTGAAAGCATCAGTTGAAGTAATCATGATAGAACCCTGCCCTAAACCCTAAACTCCAAACCCCTAAAGCCCTAAAGCCCTAAACCGTAAACCCTAAACCCCTAAACTCCTAAAGCCCTGGACCCCTTGTGGCACTCCTTTTTGGACCCTTGAAGGATTCCTAGAAATCATCTTTGTCTAACCCAAAAGCCCTTGAAACTTACTTCCCCTAAGCCCCTAAACCCCCTAAGCCCCTAAACCCTAAGCCTCTAAGCCCCTACATGGGTGGAAAAGGTCGAATTTGCAGAAGAGGACTAGCTCATAGCAGCCCGACATCATGTCCTTCCTCTCTCTTCGAGCAAACTTCCTCATCAAAAACACCCAAAACCCTAAACCCTAAACCCTTAACCCTAAACCCTAATCAAAAGGCGGGGCCCCAAAAGAGGCTGCTCTTTGGCTCTTCTTGGTCTTGAGCTCGCCCATCACCCCGGTTTCAGGCTCCACCTCCGTTTCAGCCTCGTCCGGCCTAATGTAGGAACCTGATTAAGAAGCCTTGGACCCTTACTAGGATTCCTTACACGAATCCTACTAATTTTGGGTGTTATAGGCCCAGGATTTCTTAATCAGGTTCCTACCTTGTTCGAGCTCGCCGGTGCCAGGTGCGACAGCACGGCGGCCAGGTTGCGAACTGCACGAAACTTCGCAGATCGATCTGCCGGGTTTCTCTTTCTGAAGAAAGGCGTCTCGAGCTCGTCTGCTCCTCTTGTCCTAACCTAAAATCCTAAACCGTAAGCTCCAAACCCTAAACTAAACCCTAAACCCTAAACCCTAAACCCTAAACCCCAAACCCCAAACCCCAAACTCTACCAGGAACACCCTCTAATGCCGCCTTTGTGGTCCTGAATAGAAGGTGTTGGGGGTATATTTGAGGGTAGTCGGGGAATGTAAGTACTAAACCCCAAACCCTAAACCCAGAACTCTAAACCCTAAACCCTACTTTAACGCCAAATAGCCTATCTTTTTAAGGACTTACACAAGGAAACCATATAAGGAACCCTAAAAAGGTAGGTTTCTCAGGGTCCAGGTAAGCCCTAAACTCTTTCTGCTGAAGATCCCTGAAACCCGGGGCGGCCTGGCCATTGAGGGCTTTGCCGCTCTCAGACTCCAAGCCTTGGAATCCGAGCAAAACAGACCCCCAAAAAGCCTCTGGGTTAGGGTTTAGTTAGGTTGATGCGCTGACCGGATATCGTTGGAATTCAGAGGGCTTTGTCGGTATCGCGGTGGCTTTGGTGAGTTTAAGGTGCGGTACACGGTCTTGTAAGCTTTTTTGTCCACGGTTGGGGCTTGGCAGAGTTTTACCGGTGTCATTAAGCCTTTGCACAAAACCCTAAACTCTAAACCCTAAACCCTACACCCTAAACCCTAAACCCTAAACTCTAAACCCTACACCCTAAACCCTAAACCCTAAACTCTAAACCGGGTTCTTCGAGGGGGTCAAAAGGTTCTCGGCGTGAGTTGCAAACAGAAGCATGCCGATCAGACCGGTCTGGAGGTTTAGCGCTTTTTAGGGTCTTTTTTTTTTATGGGCTCGCTTTTTAAGGTTTAGGGTGTAGGGCTTTTTAGGGTTTAGGGTGTAGGGCTTTTGGGGAGGGCTTTTAGGGTTTAGGGCTTTTTAGGGGCTTTACCCAGAGAACCCAATACCCCTTAATTAAGGAATATACCTTGAATCATAATATTAAGGCCCCTATAACTTAAGGTCACTTGAGGTTTAGGGCATTTTAGGGCTTACAGTGTAGGGCTTGTAGGGTTTAGGGCTTTGAAGGTTTAGGGCTTTTAGGGCTTGAGGGGCTTTACGGCTTCAGCCCTGAACGCTGCAGGATTCATGGTGTAGGCTTGAGGCTCTTAGTAGTGCTTTAGGGCTGTTGGCCTGGCAAGATTCCTAAAGCCCAGGGTTCAACTTTTTCCAGCTTCAGGATTTCGGCGTCTTAGTGGTTGTCGTGTGCGGCTTATGCACTTTGGAGTTCACATCTATCGGATTTTGGGGTTTACTTGGCGGACCATTGCACTTAGCAAGGAGGGTTATAAGTACCTTAACTTGGGTTATAAGTAAGTATAACTATAGCTACCTTACTTATAACCCTACCTATTAAGTCCCACGATCCTCCAAGGATTGGTCGAGTGCTCGCCTTGAACCCCAAAATAACCTCCCCTTTTACTCAGGACTTGTAGAAGGAACTCATAATAGGGAACCCTAAAAAAAGGTAGGTTTTTTTAAGGACTTGTAGAAGGAATTCATAATAGGGAACCCTAAACAAGCTAGGTTTTTTTTTAGGATCCAGGCAGGGTTTAGTGGGGTTTCGGGCAAGCTTAGGGTTGAGGGCTGTTGCATTTTCCCGGCTTAGGGCGTCACGGGGCTTCAGGGTCTACAGTAAACCCTTACATTACTCTACCCTAAACCCTTATAGATCTCTGATGGAACCCTTTAATTTAAGGAATCCCTTAAGGAGCCCTTTAACTTCCTAGGTACCCTTACAGCGACCCTTGGCGAAATCCGGTGCGGCTCGGTTTCCGCACCAAAGATCTCGACGCGGCTGCCGTTCTTCAGCTCGCCCTCGCGCTCAGAAGCCCCCCGACCCTCCATTTTTAAGGGGTCCATGAAGGGTTCTAGGGTTTAGGATTTAGGGTTTAGGCCCCGACCCTCCATTTTTAAGTGGTCCATTTTAAGAATTCTTCGGTTTAGGACTTAGGGTTTAGGGGTTTTTGGGTTTAAGGTTTAGACCCCGACCCTCCACTTTAAGTGGTCCTTGAAGGGTTCGTTTAAGCCTTTGGAAGGGTCCAAGGTGACTCAGGGGTTTGGGATTCGAGGGTTAAGCGTTGAATCCGGGTCCAGGGTTTCAGGGCTTATTGGTTTCATGTCGGGATACTGTAGCCCCAAGGGTCCAAAAGACCCTATAATAATTATTATAATAAGGTACTTGGGTTTAGGATAGTAGATATGTAGGTTAATATTGGGGAGAGTATATGATGATTAGGTACTTGGACCCTTAGGGGGTATAGTGGTTTTATCAAACTCGCAACCCTCAAACCAAGCGCGTTTGAGCTCCCTAGGATCCTCTCAAAGACTCCGACATTCTCAATCCCTAAGGGTCCATGTACTCATATAGCATATACATTGGCCTTAAAGTAGTCCCTATATAGGTACATTGGGCCCAAAGTATATGCTGTATGGGTGCATGGACCCTTAGGGAATTGGGAGTTCCTTGACTTAGAAGAAGTTCCTACCCTGGCCCCGAATGCCCCGAAGCCCCAAACCCGGAGACTCCAATATCCCTTAATTAAGGAATGTACCTTAAATCATAGTAGGGTCCCTTTTATGACTTAAGGAATATTCCTTAATTAGGGGATATTGGAACCGTGTCCGCAAAAAAGGGATTCTGCATAGTGCGCACCTTTGGTGAGAATTTTCGTTGGCAGCCGTGGCCGTGAAAACTCGTCCGTAACCCGGATTGTGCAGCGTGCACGGGCTCGCCTTACTCGACGACCCGCGAAGCCGTCCACACCCGTTCCCACGGCAGGTGGGGGAAAGGACAGCGTGTGTCCCATGATCCTTTAAGTCTGGCCACTTTGCGTGAAGACCGGTTCTTTGGCCGAATTGCCCGATGAACAGGATCAGAGCCCGGGCTGCAGACAAACACTTACCCAGACCCCCGGGAGGATCTAGAAAGTAGATCCCCTGATTTGGGGCACTATACAACAAAGGGAACTTAAGAGGAACCCCCATTAAGGGATCTACGTTTTGGATCCTCCGGGGTACTTGTCTGGGACTACAGATCAGTTATAACTAGGATGCCCAGTAACCAAGGAATAAAAAGGGCGGTATTGGGTAACTTGATAAGGAACCTAGGAAGACAAAAAGGGGATAAGGGTACTACTGGGCATCCTAGATAAGAATTCTGGTACCCCCAAATGATTAAATGGTTACCTACCCTACTACTTGTAGGCACAATAGATAATTCAACGCCGTAAACCCTAAACCCGAAAGCCTACACCCTAAATCCTAAACCCTACACCTCAGCCCTACACCCTACAAGCTGCACCCTCAACCCTACACCCTACATCCCTATACCCTAAAACTCGGGGCTCAGCGTTGCGTGGCTTAATTCTTGGCGGCCGAGCTTGGCAGTCGCCAGAGTTCAGGGTTTAGGGCCGATTTGTTATGGCGTTTAGGGCTTGAGGGTTTAAGGTTTAGCGCTTAGGGTTTAGGGCTTTAGGGCTTGGAAGCCTAAGGTTGAAGGCTCAGGATTTAGGCTTATTGTGGGATTGGAGTTTTAAGTTTTGGGGTTCGGCAGCGTGGGTTGGCCAAAGCTGGGCCACCCAGGAGGCCCTAAACCCTAAAGCCTACCTAGAGGCTCATACCCGACCCCTTTTCTAAGGTATCTGATGCTCCATATAACAGATCCTGAACATAAAAAGGTGTCCTAAAAAGGGGTATACAGGGTATGAGCCTATACTTAGAGGATCATGGGACTTAGTAAGTAGGGCTATAAGTATGTAAATTAGGGTTCTAGATAAGTTAGTTACAAAACTTATAACCCCAACTACTAAGTCCCATGATGCTGTAAATGGGTACTTAAAGGCTCATGGGAATTAGTCGGTGGGGTTATAAGAAAGGTAACTACAGTTGTAACTACTCGTAACCCAAATTAAGGGACTTATAACCCTACTTACTAAGTCCCATGATCCTCCAAGTAGACTCTACACCCTAAGCCGCGCCCCTGAGGGCGAGCAGAGTCCATGGACCCGGGGGTGTCTAGGCCGGTCTCGGGGAACGACACGGCTTACTTAAAGGATCATGGGACTTACGGTTGATGATATAAATCCTGCATTACCTTAAAGACCCTAAACTGTGGGAATTATGGGATATTCCTTATTATGGGTAATGCAGGGTTTATATCATCAACCGTAGTAATTGGGGTTCCTTTAAGGGTTCTATGAGGGTTCTATAAGGAGTCTTTCAGGGGCTTAGCGTTAAGACTGCTTACAGGATCATGGGACTCAAACTTAGCAATTGGGGTTATGAGAAAAGTAACTACAGTTATAAGATATTTTAAACCCCAATTAAGGTACTCCAGCCAAACAGGACGAAGCAAAACATACAAGGCTTAACGCCGGGACCCATGAAGGAGAAGCCCGAAACATATTTAGGGTTTAGAGTTCAGGGAAATTCGAGAATTGCAATTTTGGAAGGTTTTGCTTTTCTCGAGCAAGTTACTCAACACCATGATCTGGGCGAAACCAGCCAGTTTCTTTAAACCTGGTCTGCAAAGGAAGAACACTACGCTAGCGCAGGCATAGGCTCTCAAATTTACGGTTTAGGGCTTAGGAATTTATGTCTTCAAGCTTTACGGGTCTTAGAGCATAGGGTTTAGGATTTAGATGTCAGGCACAAGGTTTACACAACTCTGAATTCTGTGGATGTAAGGCTTGAGGTAGGAAAAAGGGCTTAGGATTTAAGGTTCAAGGCTTTATCTTTTCTGCAGGACCAGCCCGAAACCCGAGATGGTTCAGCTATCCCAGCACTGTGACTTCAGGCAAAGGGTGAACAATAATGGAGGGGCCTTAATAACTAGAATAGGGTTTTGCATGGGGATTCGATATTATAATTGTAGTATAAAGTACCCCCAACCGTATTCTAATGAATAAGGCCCCTGCATTACAAAGACCACTGTTGGCTGATTGCGCGCCTGGAAAAGTGACAAGCAGCGCTGCACACACGACAACAAAAACACATCTGCCAAGAACACGGGCTGCCAGAAACCCAAAACCTAAACAATGAGACGAGGGTCTTGAGGCACATAGAAAGCTATTCGTAAAGGGAATTTCAAACTAACAAAGTAATAATATAACACTGCTAAACCCTCAATCCTGTAGCCTGAACCCGAATCACCACCTCCCATCCTGCCATGATGTGAAGAAGGGTTTTACTCACACTCTAGCGGCCTCCGTCATCTGCGGCCCCTCTGGCTGTTGCTCCTGACTTCCACTGACTTTGGAAGTGCCATCAGAGTCCCCTAAACCCACTACCCGAAAGCAAGGTTTTCGTCGGACTCTACAAAACCTGCAGTAGATAGGTATATACGCCATAGAGGAGAGAGAGGATGACCCCCCAAAGCAGGACCGTGTTATGAACAAGGATTGTTTTGTTTCTATGGCTCCAAAGCTATTACTAGGAAAGGCTAAGCGAGCTGTTTCTTTCTATTCGCTTTGCGTTTATGTTCTCGGGAAAGGCCACAAATAACCAGTGTGTTTTGTTGGGTAATCACAACGAAGTGAATCTCTGTTGCATGGCACAGAAATGAAGCATGTCAAACAAACCTCTTAATGCTATAAATCTTGAACCCCAGCTCTAAAGTCACACCTAAACCCTAAGCGCACAAAACCAAAAACCTGAAATGCTGAACCCTGCAATCCAAACCTAAACCCTAACCCGAAACCCTAAACACCTAACCCCGCCCAATCCTAAACCCTAAACCCAAAATCCTGAACCCTGCCCCCAAACAGAACCCTAAAACCTTCTCTTGGAGGATCATGGGACTTAGTAAGTAGGGTTATAAGTAAGGTAACTACAAGTACTTATAACCCCAGTTGAGGTACTTATAACCCCAACTAAGTCCCATGATCCTTCAAGTAGGGCCTTACCAGGAGCCTGGTCCTCCTCTTCCTCCGGAGGAGCACTCGCCTGCCCAGGGGTTCGGGGGTTTCATGGAAGGTTCCCTAACGATCTTACTATATAAGGCCTTTGGGCTATTTTGATCCCCAGGGGTTTAGGGTTTAGGGTGTAAGGTTTAGGGGTTCAGAGTTTAAGGTTTTTGCTTCAGGGTTTAAGTTTAGGATTTAGACGCAGTCTCCAGCCTTGCGCAACCAGCGACTCCAATATCCCTTAATTAAGCAATATTCCGTTCATCATTTGAGGCATCCTACTATAAATCAAGGAATATTCATTAATCAGAGGGATATTGGAGTCTCTGGCAATCTCCAGCCCTGAACATGCAAAACCGAATTCCTACAAGAGTTTGGTCGGAGGGCTTAGGGAACAAGCCTGCGAAGACAAGACCCAGCAGTTTAGCCTCAATCCTCTACCATTTTACGCGGCTCGATACCCCAAACCTTGCAGCAAATGGCATGGACCAACGACTCGACCAAATATCTAAAGGCAACTCCAAACCATGTTGCCATATTGTGTCTGATTGTCTGACCTAGGTTTACCAAAAGGTCCCAAGAGGGTTCCCGAATACTCCTATTGCGGAAGTAAGGCTCCAAAACCGTAACAGGCATGGTCTTTTGTGATCTAGTTCCTAAACCCTCCAATATCCTGACTATAGTATTTCAAAATATTTCGAAACCCCAATCTCTCAGGGTTTCAAGCCACAAAAGTCTGCTCCCCTACACTGTAAACCCGTAAACAGTAAACCCTGCACCCCCCCTCCCACCCGCAAAGGCCAAAAACCATATGCAAAACCTTGACACACAACCCATCTAGAAACCCTAAACCCGAAACTCTACACGCTTCTAGAAACCCTAAACGCTACAAGCCCAAACAATAGAAGCCAGAAAGTTGGAACCTCATTATCCTCATGCTCTTAAGGTAGAGTAGAGGAAATCCCAGCAAGAATCATCCTAAATCCATGTTCCAACTTTCTGGGATTCACTACTTGGAAGGGCAGGGGACTTAGTAAGTAGGTTATAAGTAGGGTTATAAGTGGGGTAACTCCATTTAAGGTACTTGTAACTCTACTTCTCACCTACTTACTATGTCCAGTGCCCTTCCAAGTATAGACCCCTATATGTCGGGCGAAGGCCTCTAAGAGTGTCTGCGCGGAGACTCCCGCCAACCTCTTCGGAGAGAAGGAAGTCGAGGATTTGCAATCGAAAGGTCGCTACAAGGCCTTTATACGGATTTACGGTTTAGGGTCGAGGGCTTATGACCATAATTTTGACAACCACCCATATGAGGAAATGTCGTTACAAGGCCTTTATAAGGGTTTAGGGTCTAGGGTTTAGGTTTTAGGGTTTTGGTCTCTACTAGGCCTTTATAGGGGAGTTTCCGAAAATAGGGGACACTGATATAGTACCCTAAACAGTAGGCTCCTTATTATAATGACACCAAAATACGGCAGCCCTAATATACGGAAACTCCCATAAGGGTTCCATGAGGCTTCTTGGTTAAGGGAGATATAGGGCATCTTTCTCTGGGCTTTAACTGAGTTCGTAGGATTTCGGGATGGCTTAAGTCAGGTTTAGGGTTGTTGGGACGTTTCTGGTTTCAGTCGTACGGTCTAGGCTTCGGCGTTTACACTAATATGATCAACGTCTAAGCCTGAACCTTAAACTCGCATCTTTCCATGGCGCTGCCTCAGTTCTCTTCTTCTTCGGATGCGCAGTCATATCGTGGTCTAGGGCCGTTTAGGGTTTTAAAGTCTCGGGATGCACGATCTCGGATTTTGGTACCTTGCAGAAGGATTCAGAATGTCGAAGACAGATAGTAAGCAATCGAAAGCCCAAGCCTGTCAGGCTGCATAGGAAGTTTCAACTGCTAGGAAATTTCTTCTAGTCTGTGTTTATGCATAAAACAGAGGCTAGATCCAAACCCTACAGGCTCGTTCTCAGAACTCCCACGCCGCAAACCTTCTGGCTATTAACTTCTCTGCACTAGGACCCCACAGCACCCGACTTCTGTGTCACCTGTGTAGCTGAAACGGGCATCCGGCCTTCGAATCTTGCAAGGTTCAAGGCGTCGGGCTTCAGGCAAGACCCTTTGATGAAGCAATATATGGGAGTTTCCGAAAATGGAGGGCCTGATTTAGTATCGAAAAAAGTAGGATCCTTATTATAAGGACACCGAATAAGGTACCCCCCAATTTCGGAAACTCCCACACAATACATATTGCATCATCACAAAAAGGTCCTTCTGCTGAAACGGTTTCAGGTATTGACCCAACACATTACAGAACACAAAACCCGAAACCAGAACCCTAAACCCTGAACCCCCAAACCCGCCACCGAACCCTGATCCCTCAACCCCAAACCGTTTCGCACAAGCATGACCGTTAAAAAACAAACAAAACCCCAAACCCTAAACCCTAACCAAACCCCAAACCAAAAAAAAACACTCCGGGTGTCCCAGCGTCGCAGTCCGCATCGCTGCGGCCAGCTTCGCCTTGGCTGCGCGCATCGCCTCGGCACGAGTTTGAGAGCCTCAAATCCAAGGGTAAAAGGAGGGACACTTAACAATTAAGAACCCCTAGGTATATAAGGGATCAAAAAGGGTTCTATTAAGGGTTTAGGGTTTAGGATTCCTTTAATAAGGACCCCTAAGTATATACCCTTAATATAGCTATTGTATACCCATTATATGGCCCATTATAGGGGAGGGGTCCCTATTAAGGGTCCCTCCTTTTCCCCTTTGATCAGAGATCCTAACCCAAAGGGTCCTATGTACTGTTATGTCGGATACTTCCCTAGACCATAGTCCTCAGAGATCCTCATAATGCCGTGTTCGTTTAGGGTATAGGGTTTAATTAGGGTTTAGGGTTCTGGGGTTAGGGTTTAGGGTTCTTTTATGAGTTTCTTTATGTTTCCCTACAGGTGTCCTTTGTTTTACGTAGTTCCCGGCGGTTTCGGGCTTTAGGATTCAGTTCTTAATACCGTTTTTTCGGGTTCGCCTAACCCTGCCCTGCTCTGATTCTTCAGGCCCTCAAATCACCCCTTTTCAAGGCGATATTTTCTCAAACTATCGAGGGAGGTATATTTGATATGATGTGCAGTTTATAAACCCTAAACCCTAAACCCGGCGGGGTTTTTTTTTTTCGAAGGTGCGGCCAACCCTCTTTTTTCGGAGGTGCGGCCAAGGATTTGTTCAGGTTGGACACCCAGGATCCTTGTAGAGGGTTCATCGGCGATGTAATAATTTTGCGCCCCACCACAGCCCCAGCCCTTCGACACGCAGAATCCTTGTAGAGGGTTCATCGGGGTCGTAGAGAATTTGCGCCGCACCACAGCGCCAGCGCTTGGAGGCGCAGGATCCCTGTGGAGGGTTCATCGGGGACGTAGAAAATTTGCACCGCACCACAGAGCCAACGCTTCGAGGGGCAGGATCCCTGTGGAGGGTTCATCGGGGACGTAGAAAATTTGCACCGCACCACAGAGCCAACGCTTCGAGGGGCAGGATCCCTGTGGAGGGTTCATCGGGGACGTAGACAATTGGCGCCGCACCACAGCGCCAGCGCTTCGAAGCGCAGGATCCCTGGGTGAAGCATCAAAAAAAACTAATCATCAACAACAAATGAAATCCAGGGATCAACAAAAAACTGATTTAAAAAAAAGAGCATCACAAACAAATTAAATTATAGGAAATGAAGCCATTTCCAAAACTATTTGCCTTGGTGGCGGTGGTGGTGTCGTTGATGTCGTTGCTGTCGTCGTTGGTGGTGGTGGTGTCGTTGATGTCGTCGTGTTGTTGCTGCTCTTCGCGTTAAACCCCCTGGAGCGTGGCTGTCTGGCTTTCCCCTTCTTGTGTGTTGCCGAATACGTGTATGTTCATTTCTTCGCGGGCTTACAGAGCGGGGAGTTAATTTAGTCTGAAAAAAGCGGGGGGGTTGGGGGGGGCGCAGCCCCCCCCATTTGCAATCCTTTTAAATCCTTCAGGATTGATTTTGTCTTCTTTGCGTTAAACCCCCCTGAAGCATTATTGTCTGGCTTCCCCTTCTTGTGTGTTGGCGGATACGTTTTTGTGCATTTTCCGTGGCTTTAGAGAGCGGGGAGTTTAGTCTAAAAAAAGCGGGGGGGTTGGGGGGGGCGCAGCCCCCCCCATTTGCAAACCTTTTAAATCCTTCAGGATTGATTTGGTCTTCTTCGCGTTAAAACCCCCTAAAGCATTGTTGTCTGGCTTCATTTTTTTTGTGTTGACGAACACGGTTTTATTTATTTCGTAGCAAACGACCGGCTGGCAAACACGTTATTGTTGATTACTTCGTGGCTCAAGAGAGCTTCCAAGTCATTCATGATTGATTGTGTTGCTTCGCGTGTAACCCCGCTGAAACAACAACCCAAGAAAATCCGTGTTGTGAATCTGGGTTCCGAACCTGAATTTCCAACCGTCTGTCTTACTTCTTTTCTTTCTTTCTGTTCTTCTTCCTTGCTTTGGTCCTTGTTCTGGGGTGTTTCGTTCTGTCTTCCTGGGTTCTTTTCGTTTCAGGTGGAAAAACCAAGAAAAGCACACCAAATCCGTCCAAAACGTGAGGAAAATAGTGTTTTCCCCAGGAAAACCCATGGAAAAACACCAAACAAAAAAAAAAACAACAACAAGATCCAAAATAATGGGCCCTCCATATGTATGTATATATATATACACACACACTCTCACTCTCTCTCTCTCTCTCTCTCTCTCTCTCTCTCTCTCTCTCTCTCTCTCTCTCTCTCTCTCTCTCTGTATGTATGTATATATATATATATATATACACTATATATATACATATATATACACTATACTTACTATATATGCTATATATACTATATATACTATATATACTATATATACTATATATACTATATATACTATATATACTATATATAGTATATATATATATGCTGTATATACTGTATGTACTATATCTACTATAATATATATATATATATACCATATATACAATCTGTATATAACATATATATATATATATATATACTATATCTACTATATCTACTATATTCACTATATCTACTATATCTCTTATATCTACTATATCTCTTATAACTACTATATTTACCATATCTACTATATTTACTATATATGCTATATCTACTGTATATACTATATAAAATAATATATACTGCAGAAACAATATAAACTGTATATACTAATACTATATCTACTTAATCTACTACATATACTATACATATATACTCTATATATATATATATATATACATATATACATACTGTATATATTATGTACACTATATATATACTATATATACTTTATACATTATATATACTATATATACTGTAGATAAAAATATACAATATAAACTCTATATACTATATATATATATACTACATATATATATATATGCATATACTATATGAATATATATTATATATACACATGTTATATGTATATACTGTACATACTATATCTAGTATACATACTATATATACTACATGTACTATGTATACTATGTATACTATGTATACATATATATATATATGTATGTGTTTTTACCTTTATATACTGATGTACTACCGTCCTTCCTTTCTTCCTTCTTTCTTTCCTTCCTTGCTTCCTTCCTTCCTTCCTTCCTTCGTTCCTTTCCTTCCTTCCTTCCTTGTGTCCTTGCTTTCTTCCTTGCTTTCTTCCTTCCCTGTGTAAATAACAGGACGTAGAAGCAAAAAAACAGGACCGAAAAAAAGGACGCAAACAAAAACGGATTCCCGTTCTTGTTTCTCTTTCATTCCTTGCTAGCTCCTCTGCTTTCTTGCTTTCTTTTGTGCTTGCTTCCTGGCTTTCTTTCCTTCATCATCTTTCTTCTGGTTTTCTTACTTCTGAAATTTTGCTTTATTTTTGTTATTCCTTGTTTGCTTTCTTGTTGCTTTTGCGGGACCGCAGGACCAGGAGACCACGGCACCAGGAGACCACGGGACCAGAGGACCAGCAGACCAGAGGACCAGGCAACCACAGGACCAAGGACCAGAAAACTAGGGGACCGCATGCACGGACACCACAGGACCAGAGGACCAGCAAACCGGAGGACCAGGGGACCACAGGACCCAGGACCAGAGGACTAGGGGACCGCATGCACCAGGGACCCTTGGCCGCACCTCGCAAACAAGGGTTGGCCGCACCTTCGAAAAAAAAAACCATGGCCCCCCTAAACCCCAAAACCCTAAACCCTAAACGTTTCAGTGTTCGGGTCTTGGGCTCTGTGGGGAGAGAGTATTGAAACTCTGAAGCGATGAACCGTGTCACTTTTGTACTTCGGCGCTGACTGAGTACCAATACTTGGAGGGGCAGGGGACTTACTAAGTAGGTTATAAGTAGGGTTACAATTGGGGTATCTCCATTTAGGGTACTTATAACTCTACTTATCACCTACTTACTAAGTCCCCTGCCCTTCCAAGTATGCCTCCGGGGACCTTATTATGGGGTCCTTGAGGGGTCTAGGGCCCTAACTATGGGATCCCTGGAGGGATAGGGTACCCTGGCAAAAGGCTATCCTTTTAGTTCTGGTAGGATCTTAAACACCACCAACCGACTGTAACAAGCCTAAGCCCAACCCACGGTGCTCCGCGCCTCCTCATCAGCAGGGGCTGACTCGTCCTGGGATCAAGCAGCTCCAAAGAAAGAGCCTTTAAAAATTGACCCATGGCCCTATGGTTCAAAGATGCTCACCCTACACCCAGACCCCTAAAACCCTCGGAGGTTTCATATACTTTTAGGCTGTTTGCCTGATGACAGACTGTCAGAGTTTTAGGGCCTAAACCCTAAACCCCTAAACCCCTAAACCCTAAACCCTAAACCCTAAACCCTAAACCCTAAACCCTAAACTCTAAACCCTAAACCCCTAAACCCTTGAAGGCTTGGGGATGGGCTGTGTCGAAGCCCCATGTCCCAGACGAAAGTCGGGGAAGGCCGAAAGCCCATCCGGGCAATTCCGGGTTTAGGGTTTAGGGTTTAGGGTTTAGTTGTTTAGGGTTTAGGGTTTAGGGTTTAGGAGAGTTTTTCTGAATGGTTTTGAGGTTCACAATCCCGGACTTACCCATCAGAGCACTAACAATAGTGTGGAAGAGGATCCACGACGCTAGAGAACAGAGTCACAGACATGCACAGCAGTCAGCAGTGAAGAGAAACTTCACGCCCACGCGCCCGTAGACATAGATTTCTTGCATGACCTCTTAACTCCGAGAAAACACGAATCTGAAACTGTGGACCCACGACTCCCATCGAAAAGCAAACCCCGTCCCAACACAACTTGAGCTAAGTGGATTGGAAATGGGAATCAGGGTGTTTGAAGCAGTGTTTTCATTGGTATTCCAATAATGGTACAACTGTACAATCAACAACATCCTATTCCAAATCCTGAATCCGGGACAGTCGAAGCGTTGATAGTGCTGGCAATAGTCCTGTGCCAAAACAGCCAATCCTCCATGGCAACAACACCAGAGACAGCCAGAACCAATCTAGATCTAGAAATTTCAGAGCACAAGGGATACGAGATGGACCCTAAACCCTTAACCCCAAACCTTATGATATAGACTCTAAACCCTTATTGCAAGGACTCCCCATAAGGCAGCTCTATCCCTAAACCTTTAAGCCCTTAACCTGATCTCTAAACCCTAAACTCTAGTGTTACGGTCGATGATATAAATCCTGCAGTACCTTAAGGACCCTAAACTATGGGAATTATGGTATGTTCCTGATAATGGGTCATGCAGGATTTATATCATCATCCGTAGCACCTCTATCCTTACGCACTCCCCAGAGACTCCAATATCCCTTAATTAAGGAATATACCTTAAATCATATTAGGGGTCCTACCATAATTTAAGGTATATTCCTTAATTAGTTCTCTTATAGAACCCTTATAGATCCCTTCAAGGAGCCCTTTAAGGAACCCTTAGGGGTATATTCCTTAATTAAGGGATATTGGAGTCCCTGGGTCGCATCTTATGTCGGACCTCTGCTGCCGAAGACAGCCGCTGCACTTCCGCCACCTTTCAGGGCTTAGCGGACAAAGGGCTACTTGGAAGGGCAGGGGACTTAGTAAGTAGGTTATAAGTCGGGTTATAATTGGGGTAACTCCATTTAGGGGACTTATAACTCTACTTATAACCTACTTACTAAGTCCCCTGCCCCTCCAAGTAGGGGGTTTCTCAGGATTAGTTTTTTCGGTTTCTGAGGGTTCAGTTAGGGTTTAGGGTTTACGGATTCGGAAGAATGTTTGGGTCGTAGGGCCTTTCAGGATGTAAGGGTTTAGAACTCACGGTATGGCTTTTAGACAGATTGTCGCGGCCTGCTGGGCGGGGGAGGGGTGGCAATATCGATGAAGTCGAACATGCTTCGCTTCTGTTTCTTCTGAGTTTGGTTACTTAAAGGACCATGGGACTTAGTAATTGGGGTTATAAGTAAGGTAACTACAGTTATAATTACTCACTAACCTTTTTGGCTGTATATATATATATATATAGAGAGAGAGAGAGAGAGAGAGGGGTCATATAGGGACTATGCTACCCAAGAATGGTTAAAGGTTACCTACTCTACTACTAGGTTGGTTACAAGCAAAACAGCAAAAGCAAAACTAGCAAGTTTAACATCGCCACATATCCTCGCAGTGCCCACATGCCTGCACAACGACTATAGTCTTCTGCTTGGCCATACCGAAGATCATGATGACGAAATGCTGGTAACAATAGTTATTTCAAGAATAAGCTTCTGCATGGTCATACCGAAGGTCATGATGACGATAATGCTAATAATAATGACTATTTCCAGAATAGGAAGAGTAATCATAGCGATAACAGCATTAATAATAGTGGTAAGAACTGTGTTAGTAATACACCAATCGCTATAATTGCAGTAATGCCGATAGTAATTCCAACAGTAATACCAATACTAGCACATTGTATGGCATTACATGGGGGCGTGGGTAAGTAGATAAATTTTGAAGTTGTCAGTAACATAACCCCATTTAAGATCTCTTCTAGTGCACTTATGACTCGACCAATCACGTACTTACTACGTCTCCGGACCCTCCAAGTAAACCCTAAACCCCAAACCCTAAACCCTAACCCTAAGGTGCGAGGTAGAAGGCGTCAGGCTTCTGCGTTGCCTCTGTAGTGTCCTCGATCTCATACTTGTCACGACAAGGTCATACGGTTTGAGAACATCTTATGAACTTTTAATATCAGGACTCTCTCTCTCTCTCTCTATAATATATATATATATATATATATATATATATATTTATTTTATAGAGAGAGAGAGAGAGTAAACAGTAAAAGAAAGTAGCACTGGTTCTAAATCAGTATCTCGTATATGGGAGTTTCCGAAAACTAAGGGGGTACCTTATTTTTGGGTCCTTATAATAAGGGTCTTTCTGTACTATTTAGGGTACTAGATTAGGGTCCCCTATTTTCGGAAACTCCTATAACGTCATACGGTTTCAGAACATCTGCCCTCACGCCGGAGATTTATTGAACCGACTGGGGCTAGTATTACCGATGGCAGCTGCAGTGGGTTTTCTGGTTTGGAGACTTGCTACCCTATGCCCGAACTCTCAACTCTTCACCCTACCACCCTAAAGCAACGTCGTGACTAAATGCTGTAACCGGATTATCTGAATCCCGAGTCCCAAATCCCAAACCCGCAACTGCAAAGCCTGAACTCTCTGAGGCTGCAGCGGCCGCACGGAAAGCAAGCAGGGCCACTTTGGCTCCCTTCGATGCGGCAAGAAGGCTTCACACGTTAGATTACTGCTTGCAGGGGTGTGGGAGGTATTGACGTACTTCGTAAACGGCCTAAACCCTAAACCCACGATGGGTATACGGCAAATGCAGCTTGCACAGTCCATGTCTTGCTTGTGGCCTGCTTTCCCTCAGCATGTCCTGATTCGGAGGTTCGCATCAGGGGCCCCCGAACCGACGTTCCTTAGCAAAGGAGAGGCGGATGAACCGAGGTTTGCATGTTCGCACCTTTCATTTAGTTCTGCGGCAACGGCACAGGGCTTCGCTTTCTCTAGCACTACCAGCAACCACCGTAACTACTGTGAATAAAGGTCAGGGTCATTCGTTAGTTTCCGAAATTTTTATGGTTCAAGCCCCCGACTTGCACGGTGCCCTGCAGCAGGAGCAAGACACCGGTTTTCGTGTGTTAACTCTGAAATGCTAAACCCCTAGACCTTATAGGAAGAGTTACTCTTTACGCACTCCTCGGCCGAAACCTCATGCACACCATGCCACGGTACAGACCCAGCACAGATTACACCTGGAACTGCGAACACCTAAAAGAGTAGGATAAAGTTTAGGGTTTAGGGGGTACTTAACATATCTGACGGATCCCTAGTCTAAGACTCACGGACCGCTTGATAAGGTCGTTAGGCCTAACTCTAAGAAAGATAGACCTTGAGTGAACCCTTTAATTAGACCGCATGCGGACTTAGAACGCCCCGGATGCGGCCTAAAATCGAGTATACAACATTAAAAAGTCCGTGGAATTAAACCTTATGTAAGTTTGAACCATTGTTTAGGCCCTTGAACAAACCTACCAAGCCCTTGAACGTGTATATTGTCTGTGTACATACATGCATACATGCATACATACTTACATACATACAGAACACCGTCTCAACTACAAAACGAAGTTCCCAAATCAGTTAATCAACGAAGCAGCCTCCGACATGTCAGCCTCCGCGGTAGGCTGCTCTTGCCTATGTCTGCTTCCACGGAGAAGGTTAGGGTTAAGGGTCTATACCCTATGCCTCCAGGGACCTTATTATGGGGTCCTTAAGGGGTCTAGGGCCCTAAGTATGAGGTCCCCGGAGGTTGAAGGTCTATAGGGTTTATAGGGTTTAGGGTATTGTAGGGTTCTAAAGTTAGTTAGGCAAAGGCTCCCATAAGGCTCCTGGCTCGGGTCTTGAGGAAATAACCTGATGAAGGTTTCCAGCAGGGCTTCCAGGGTGTAGGAAGGCTTGCGGGTTCGGCAGCGAGTATCCGTCATGAACGGAGGGACGTAATACAATGGTTCTGGCATCGACACCACACACAACAACAGCAGCATCAACAGCAAAAGCAGCAGCCACCACAATGTCAGCACGCAAACTTTGCTGCAGCTGCAGCCGCAGCGGCACCAGCAGCAGCAGCAGCAGCAGAAGCAGAACAACATCTCAACAGCAATCATCTTAAGCTTCAAAGTTGAATCTAATACTAACAGCTGACATGCGAAAACAGCCCCAGTCCGCGGATCAAAACTGTTATGTCGGAGCTGAGGTTTCAGAGTCCATGTACATTTACGGGGTGTAGGTCATGTCATTCAGTGTAATCCACGACGTGACAAGGCGAACAACCACAGACCCGAGCTACCCGTCGAAAACTGAATTCACGACCGCAAGCTCCAACCTCTAACCTTAGATAGCCACCCCTGACAGAGATCCTAGAAAAAAACCCGACGGACACAATGTCTCAATAAAAAAAAGCTTCCACCGTCCACCCGGAACCACACCCTGGATCTTCTCTGCTCGAGCATGGTCTTCGGGCTACGGTTCCACGGTTCGAGTCTACTAGTTACTATACTGAACTTAGAACCCTAGCACAAAAATATAATTTTAGCTGTTTCTTAGGGATTATAATAACCAAAAACAAAAAATTATTTCTAAGTACCCCTAAGGTTAGTCACGGTTCCTTTTACAGGGCTTTAGCATTTAGGGCTTGGCGTTTGGGGTCCAGGAACGTAGTGTTTGGGGATGGTGTGAAGCGTTTAGGTTCTGGGGTTTTGGCTTCAGGGTTAAACCGTTGATAGGACGTCGCAGTAAGGCACCTGTCGCCATTTCCCTCCTCTTCGGCGCCCATTGCGCTCGTTGCTGGCTCTATTTTCAGCGTTGACTGGACCCTAAACAACATACATCTGTAAGGTTCCTCAGTATGATTGCCTCATACTTAAACAATTCCTTATAAGGTGGGTTTTCGCCGCCACAGGTAGGGTTGATTGAGGGTTCGGGTGGTTTACAATCTAGAGTGGCGGGTCCTGGTTTCTGAGCTTCCTTGGCCCCCAGACGGATAACAGCCTTAAATTATGGTCGGATTAGATGAACAAAACAACTTTACAGGTTACCTCCTCAACTGCTACGGAGTGTAGGTGTGAGCATAATGTAGAGGCTTTGATAATTAGATAGCTACAGGATTTTGGGGGACAACTTGGTAAGTTAATGTAAGTTAGAATAAGAGGCCTTGAAGAATTCAATTAGCGATTATTCGGTCAAGCTTCTAGATTAGGCCTTTGCTTTTTGTTGGGGCTGAGGCTTGGCTTTCGTGTTCAACCTCTCGGTTTTGAATCCTGCGTGGCTGCAGGTTCGGCAACTACAGGCAGCAGAGGACCCTACCTGTAGTTTCCATTGTAGTTCAACAAGACCCCAACCTCCAAACCCTAAACCCCCAAGCCCTGAACCCACTTAGGACTCCCAAAACCCTAAACTCCTAAATCCTAAACCCAAAATCCTGAACCCATTTAAGACTCCGACACTCCTACATGGTAGGATCGGTATTAGATGGACCCCCCAATCCGACGAGGCTTCGGCATCAACTCCGCTTCCGAAACTGTTGGTGGTGACAAGTAGGAGCTGAATGTCCGCAGAGGCTGAGGGTTTTAAGGCTTGGGGTTCAGGTTTGGGGTTCAGGATTTAGGGTTCAGGATTTATGGTTTGGAGTTTAGGTTGTGAAGACGTCGGGTTCAGGATTTAGGGAACTACGGTTGATGGTATAAATCCTGCATTACCCTTAGTAAGGAATATCCCATAATTCCCACAGTTTAGGGTCTCTAAGGTAATGCAGGATCCCCATACCCCGAGCCCTCGGTTTTGGGGACTGCATTGGGTTCTTTTCTTCGGAAGCTGGCATGTGGAGTTTCTCAGACCCCAGAGGTTGTTGCCAGCGACAAGACCCTAAACCCTGAACCCCTCGACAGTCTTCGGCAAGGTCTCGCCATGTGAGTGCTGTCGGTCTTGAGAACGAAGACATGGGCAAGCAGTTGATGCTACCCGGAAAACCCAGACATTTGGGAGGATCCAAAGAGTAGATCCCTCCCTTTCAGGAGCCCTTTCAGGCGTCGGGGTTCCCATGAATAGTAGTCTACCGAGGCACTAAACCTGTCCTGCTGGCTCTTTGAATGGCAGTAGATGCAAATTACATTGAATGAACAGATTTTTTAAAACCTGCTATACTGATTTTCATACTTTTGTAACAGGTTTTCTGAAAATACATTTATCCAAGAAACACAGGTTCGCCAAGACCCTCTAGGAGGCAATTCCTTGGTACCCTAGTACTTAGTTGCTGAGTTCATAAGCCCCCCAAAAGTGTACACTTTTGGTTTAATAGTGGGTTTTATTATCCCAAAAAGCGTAGTGTATCCACTCAGCTACTAAGAATAAGAGCCAGCAATTTGTACCGGGGCGAGCGAAGCACCAAAGTGGATCGCCTCACGCGCACCCGAAGGCTGTCAGCCTTAAAGTCCCGAGACATGCTCCCGTCTTTGGAGGGATGGCAGGCTCGGCGGACGTGTCCAGAACTAGGCCGTTCAGTAACTGAGAGAGCGTGTGAATACAGAAACGACAACAAAGCAAGGTAAACAACATATACAACTGAACAACCTAGAAAGTGTCAACCTAAGCCCTAAACCCACTCTTTCATGGGTGGGCTTCCCAGAGTGTCGACTTCGCTTCCGGGGGCTGCAGCTCGCCCGGGAGGGTCAGGGTCGTCCTGTAGGCACAAGGGTTTTGTCTGCTTTAGGGTTTAGGGGGATTTCGGGTTTAGGGTTGAGGGGTTTCAGGCTTTGGGGGCTTTCGGGTTTAGGGTTAAGGGGTTTCAGGGTTTGGGGGGGCTTTAGGGTTTAGGGTTTAAAGCACAAACTTGCAGACCCCAGCAGATCCTCTGCCAACCCTTCCTAAGGTTTAGGGTTTCTAGGGCTTACAAACTCAAGACTCCACCATAGACCCTTAGGGTTCCTTTAAAGGGTTACTATAAGGGTACTGTAAGGGTTCCTTTAAAGGGTTACTATAAGGGTACTATAAGGGTTCCTTTAAAGGGATCTGTAACCCCAAACCCCTAAGGCCCAGCACGAAGTGCTGAAGTGCGAAGAAGCCCTATATAAATAGGGTTTAGGGTTTAGGGTTTAGGGTCTTCGTGCTCAAACAAAAGCCCTCGATCGATGGGGTCGCAAGGCCTTGAAGAGGGATCCTCGGGCTTCTCTAATTAAGGTTCCTTTAAAAGGGATCTATATAGGGGTTGCTATTATAAGGGATCTGTAAGGGTACAATGATATTGGGAGGTTCCGAGAGTTAGGGTTCCCTCATTTTGGGGGTCCTTATAGTAAGGATCCTACTATGTAGGGTACTATATGAGGGTGCCTTAGTTTCGGAAACATAGGGCATAGGGGTTACTAGAAGGGATCTACAAGGGTACTATCATATAGTGGGCATTAATAATCAGAACAGATGGTCGTGCCGAAATTCACAGCGAATTCGGCATTCCTTCCGAAATAAGCCGTCAACCCAAATTATGGCTGAACATCTGCTGCCCTTCGAAGAAAGCTTAATAGGAACTCCTGAACCCTAAACCGGTTTGGGGTTCAGGGTTTAAGGAGCCTTCATGCAACCCTTAGAGGACTGCCGGCCTTGGGTGCGAGCACATCGATGGAGTCGCGCTCCATCCACCACATCAGCCACGCAAAGCCGATTGAGACAACCAGGAAGACGACAGCGCCACTGAGGCTCCCCTGATAGGCCTTCGGGGAGGATTCAGGGCATAAGGTTCATGACCCTATAAGCCCTATATAAATCCTCAAGGCATGGGGTATGGTACAGGTCTGGGAGCGTGGGTACCGTAGGGTGTGGGGGGGGCGACAGTCGCGCTTTTGCGGAGCATGAAAGCCGTGCCGGTAGATTGAAGACTCTAGCCCTACCTTATCCCTGAAAACCTACCTTTTTAGGGTTCCTTACTATGATTTCTTTGTATAAATCCTTAAAAATATAGATTTATAATAAGGAATATACCACTATTCAGGGCTTATTGGTTTCATATTGGGATACTGTAGCCCCAAGGGTCCAAAGGACCCAATAATTAGGTACTCGGTTTTAGGATAGTAGCTATGTAGGTTAAGGTTTTGGGGAGTATATGAGAGTTAGGTACTTGGACCCTTGGGGTAAACTGTGAACCCTAAACCCCTAAACCTGTAGCTTTAAGTTCAAGATTTCGGGCTGCCCGGCCCCTGCAGACTCCAGAGGCTAGGAGCTCTAAGTATCTCCAAGGGTAAAAGGACGGACCCGTAATAAGGACCCGTAGGTATATACCCTTAATATAGCTATTATATACCCGTTTTATAGCCCAGTACAGTTAACGGTCCCTCCCTTTCCCCTTTGAGTATCCTGAAGCCTGAGCTAAACGTCCATCCGACCAACCTGTTCGTCAGCACCTTGGGGCTTAGGGTTTAAATCATCCTAAACTTTAGGGTTTAGGGGTTTAGGGTTGAGGGGTTTAGGGGTTTAGGGTTTAGGTTTAGGGGTTTAGGGTTTAAATAATCCTAAACTTAACCCTACTTGAAGGATCATGGGACTTAGTAAGCAGGACTATAAGTACTTTAATTGGGGTTTTAAGTAATTGTAACTGTAGTTACCTTACTTATAACCTCAATTACTAAGTCCCATGATCCTTTAAGTAATCCCCAAAAAGACAAACCTTCACGTGTAACGGTTGGGAGTCGGTCGAGGGTTCAGGGTGGTCTGCTTTGCAACTGGGTTTAGAGTCCGCCAGGCATTCGGACGGACTCATGCTACTAAGTACTAGTATGATTACTGCTGTTATTATGACTAGTGCTTCCTCCACCTACTTCGACGACCACAGCTACAAAACTACTACTGCTACTGCGACTCCTCCTCCTCCTCCTCCTCCTCCTCCTCCTCCTCCTCCTCCTCCTCCTCCTCCTCCTGGCTGCTGCTGCCGCCACTGCCGGTGCACTGGCACTGGCACCAGCGAAATAGAGTAGTCGTAGTAGTAGTATCAGCAGCAGCAGCAGCAGCAGCAGCAGCAGTGGTAGTAGTAGTAGTAGTAGAAGAAGTAGAAGTAGTAGTATTCTTCCATTCCCAATGGCCTTGGTCAATCCTGAGCTTGCTTTTGACCTCAGCCCTTCCCCCTGAAAAAAGTCTAAGCCGAAAAGGAACGGCTCCGCTGAAATAGTATTATTAGGGGGACCCCTTAAAGGGTAGGTACCCCTTCTGAACCCTACTTCTGGCTCTCTTAAAAGGGGCCTTATTGAGAGGGTCTACGTCCCAAGGGTCCCCCTAATCCTAACTCCCACCGTTTCAGGGGCCTTGTTAGAAACCTTCCAAAACAAGGATATTTGCCCTTCGAGAAACCTTGTAAGAGAAGTCTTATATGAAACCTTCAAGAAACAAACACTGCCGAACGCAAACAAAGACTACACACTCGAAACCCCAAACTCCAAACACAAAAGCATAGTATAATGGCCCCCAAACCCTACTCCAATTAGTCAGGCCCCTTTATTAAAGTACCCTTATAGATCCGTATAGACCCCCTTTGAAGGAACCCTTTTCAACATAATTCAGGCCCCTGTAGTATTACCTCAGGGACGTCACAGAAGCTGCCTGTGCGGAGAGTGAATTTCCCAGACTGAGTAGTCCCACAACGAGGACGATCGCGAAAAGGGTCTGCAGGTGATCCTCTTCTGAGGTTTAGGGTTTAGGGGTTTCGGGTTTAGGGGTTCAGGGTTTAGGGGTTTAGGGTTTAGGGGTTGGGGGTTGGGGTTTCGGGGTATACGGTTTAGGTTTTAAGCAGTGTGCGGCTTAAACCGTAGAATTCGGTAGAACATTTGCTTATCTAATTCAAGAAGCCTTAATCATTCGAAAGTCAGTTTCGTTGTTGAGAGTACATAGGGACGCTGCAACCACCACGGTATGAGGTTTAGAGTCAGTGAGTGTTTAGGGTCACTTTTTTGTGTGGGGGCGGGGGGGGGGGGGGGGTCTTCATGCATCAGCCGCAAAAATCCTAAATCCCCGAAACCCTTAACCCGCAAATCCTGAAACTGAAATACAGAAAGAGAGAAAGCGAAAAGTTCGCTTTGCACGGTCCAGACATCCGCAGCGTTTGGGAGCCAGGATGTCGCAGAGATAAACCATAAGAATCGAGCCTTCGCGTTCTTGAAGCGATTCTTTTCGGGTTTCTATGAGGGTTCTTTACGGGCTTCAGTTAGGGCTCTTAAAGGGATCTGTTAGTTTTTGTAAGGGTCATACAAGCTTGACGGGGTTTCAAGGAACACCAGTAGGGGTTCGAGCCAACCCAGGCAAGCTAAGCAAAAGCTCCATCATTGGACTGGCAACACCAACACCAACAAAACAAACAACATAGTGCCAGTAGGCTGAAATCAAGAAAGGCACAACACAAACTTGGTACAAACAAAATATAGAAACCTTTATGTAGTATCTGGACTGTCGGCATCGAACGTCAACAACTTATTACCTAGTGTCTCAACTGCGTTCTAGACTAAATGTCCACGCACAGCCCCGCTTACAACACATGGTTCCAATCCCTCAGCACCGAACCCTACCTCTAGTCTCCATTGCAGTTCCTTTTTTGGGTTACCTGAAAGGATCCTAACCATAAGAATGGCTGAACCAAAAAAGGAAGTACAACGGAGACCATGGGTAACACCTAAACCATCCTGAACCCCTTCAACCCCAGTGCCTCAGCACATCCATACATGTAAGGTGCTGCTCCCCTAAACACCCTAAACCCTAAATCAAGCTTTGGGGTTTAAGGTCTCAGGGCACAAAGCCATTGCTTTAAGGGTTTGTTGGGGCTTTGGGGGATTAATTCACAGGCTTACGAGATTTGGGGTTCTAGGGGTTTCAGGGTTAAGGTTTGTGGTGCCCACCAACATCCACCAAAATCGCATCAAACAAAACAGCGGCATCACTTAGAGGCGGCTCTTTGAACCTGATTCATAGAGGACCTTACTAATTAGAACAGGGCTTTGGGGTTCAATACAGAACTATAGTAAGGATAATCTATTTCAGCCCCAACACTAGGCAAATAGATCGAAATGCAAGGCACTGCTGCAATCCCTAATGTCAAGACATCTTCAGTACTCCTAGCAACATTCATAATGAACACCCTTAAGGACTCGAGCCCTTAAACCCTAAGGGGTTGAACAGACCCTCGAAGACTCATCAAGATCTTATCCTAAGCCCAGAACGCATGGAAGAAATACCAGCCATTTCTTACGACTTCTAGAGTTCTAGACTCGAATGTTCAAGACCATGCAGGTTTTTGGTGTGTATTGGACTGTTCGAGACCATGGAGTATGAATACCCCCAGATCAGACGCAGGGCAGGCAGTAACATAGAAGATGTCATAGCCGAAAAGGATGCCGATAGCAAAGGAAAGCAGAACATCGCGGGGCGCGCCGCCCTTCCTTGTAGGTTGAATCACGCGACGCTGCTTTGGGGGTTTCGGGATTGACAAGTCTAAGCTGACAGTTGATTAGGTTCTTGAGCCGTGCCACTCCTTCCAGCGTCTTAAACTCCAAAGAGAAGAACGTCGAGGTTGCTGAGTGTCCCCTCGTGAATTCATGCTGGTACCCCTAGACACTAAACCCTAAAATCCCTATAAGCCCTATGGGTGGTTGTCCCTTGCCCCCCAACAAAACAATTGTGACAACCACCCCTATAAACCCTTAACCCCTGGTGCCCTTTTCAGGTTATTCAGTTTTGACAGGCTCGACCTCTGGGGACGTGGGTGACATCCGGATCTGCCTGGAGGGCTTTCGGGTTACATGGCAGCAGAATATTTAGATCCTTTTAGGGTTTAGGAGTTTAGGGAAACATGTATGTAACGATTTACATACATGTAGTCGTACATACGTACCTACATCAACACCTACCTGCATACATACGTACATGCAGAAAGCTCAACTTGGAGGGTGCCGTAATTGGTGTTATACGTAATTATAGCTGTAGTTACCGTACTTATAGCCCCAATTACTAAGTCCCATGACCATTTAGGTAGCACCAACTGCTTGAACCATCCTAAAGCCCGGATCCTCAAACTTACTTGTCGAAAAGGAGCCGTTTGGCACAAGCCTACCCCACAAAGGTTCTGCCCAGGGTTCCTCTCAGGGATCTATGAGGGATCTATAGGGTTTTGGGTTTAGAAACTCCAATATCCCGTAGTTGCTCTCGACCACGAAGACAGAACGTGAGCCGAGTTTCCAGTTTGCCAGGAAGAATTCCATGGAACAGCTGAGGATGGGAAGGAGCCTCATTCTGGCGAGCGATCGGTATTTGGCTTGGGGTACGTTCAAAGCTTCAGATGAGGGAATGCCCTAAACCCTACATATAGCGATATCCCGAAAGCCCTAAACCCTGCACCCCCAAAAGCCCTAAAACCTTTAAGCTCGAAACCCTCATGCTATTTTATACAAGCAACGTCCTAAACCCTAAACCCAAAATCAGAAAATCCTGAACCCTTACTAAACTCTCATGCTTTCTTAAATACAAGGAACACACAACCCAGAGACTCCAATATCCCTTAGTTAAAGAATATACCTTAAGTTATAGTAGGATCCCTAATATGATTTAAGGTATATTCCTTAATTGAGGGGTTTTGGAGTCTCTGGGAAACCACCCCAAATGCCGCAGTTGTCTGAGCTTCCAGGGCTTTGGGGGCGCCTAAACCCTCCCCAAACCCTAAAAAACCCCAAACCTTGACTCCTAAACACCTAAACTTCTGAACACCTAAACACCTAAACACGTAATTAAACCCGTACAATCATAAGCCAGCAAGAATCTTTGGGTGAGTTGAGGCTTCCGTTACGAAGTTTTTTGGCCGCCGTTTACTTAACGGATCATGGGACTTAGTAATTGGGGTTACAAGTACAGTGAACCCCATAAAGTTGGAAACCTGATTAATGTCAAATAGTGCTGGGATTCCCTATACATTACTCTGAAGGATTGAGGCTATTGGGTTTCCAACTTTTCGGCTTCTACTGTAAGGGTAACTACAGTTATAGTTACGCATAGCCCCAACTAAGGAACCTACAACCCTATACTTACTAAGTCCCTTGATCCTCCAAGTAGACCCTAAACCCTAAACCCTTCTAGTACCCCTATAGATCCCTTAAAAGGGACCCCTAGAAGCCTACTTACTAAGTCCCATGATCCTCCAAGTAGGGCTTCGGACTGAGGAATTTTGGGCTCTCGAATCTCAGACTTTGGGGCCCGACTTTTCGACAGTAGGTCCCGGGTTTTTGTTTCCTTGTCTTTGTTTGGGTTTAGGGCTTAGGGCTTTTAGGGTTAAGGGTTTAGGGTTTTAGGGCGTTTAGGGTTCAGGGTTTGTTTGGGGTTTAGGGTTTAGTGTTTGGGGCTTTAGGGGTTTAGGGCTTTCAGGGTTTAGGGTTTGTTTGGGGTTCAGGGTTTAGGTTTTAGTGTTATCTCGACTGCAAGTCCTAGGGTTTAGAGAGGTCCCTACGTAAATGCCTGCTATGTCCCTTTAGAGCCAGAGAGCTATTCCTGTTCTTGCAAAGCAGTGCTATTCCGGGGAAGAGTCCTTAATAAATTTAGCTGATCAACATGAAAATCTGACGCGTAATTACTTACAGATGCAGACCCACTTTACTCTCTTGGTTTGCACGCAGAAACATGCAGTATCTACACAAGTATATTTCAGAGCGTCGGTGTGTGTATGTGTGTAATTATGCATGTACGTATGTATGTATGTATGTACGTATGTATGTATGTATGTATGTGCGTACACGTATCGTCGAATAAATAAGATGCAGAGACTAGAGAGAAGTAAAGATGAGCAGTGTGTAGCATGCGTGTGCGCATCGCGACACTTGCGCATAAGTTCTCTCTGTATAAACCTTACGTAGACACATGTACAAACATGTGCACCTACAAATGCATCAGATGAGACCATCATGTTAGGAACTGGCCAGGAAACTCTTGCCGTCTGCCATGAGGCATGCCGCTTGCCTTCTGATTTCTCAAAGCCCTGTATTCGGAATGCTTCCCAACCACAGACGAAACTCCCACAAATTCTCACAAATAACCCCAAACGTTCATCCCGAAACATGAAGCCGAAACCTTAAACCCATGGCCCTGATCTTCCGAAACCTCAGTCCCTCTCTACGTGTGTCAGGTGAGGAACAGAAGCAGCAAATAGCGTCTGGGCAGGCGCTTAGCAGCCAGGATTTTTTCCACATCCTTCCTCCAAACGCTTTGGGTTTAGGGATTCCTGGGAAGTGCTGCTTCTGTTTGGCTGTTTGGTGCGTGCAGGTCTTATGGGGTCTTATAGAGCCGAGACACTTTTCTCGCATAGTATGTGGAAGGTAGAGGCTGCAGGGTTTTCAGTAAACGCCCGGCAGTTAAAGATAGTATAGCTATATAGCACAAGTTGCCGACTGTGAGCTTCAAATTCGGTATGGCTACTCATATAAGGAGAAGCAAAGTTTGGGGTTGTTGTTACTTTTTTGTGGGGGGTTACGGGTCTCGGGGGATGGGTTGCAGCAATACGGTATGAGGGTTCGGGGTGTAGGTAGTTTCCGTGGGTTGATCTAGTAGCCCATAACCATATGTACCTTTGGTGCCTCAGATCTTGACGCACGAACTCGGTGAAGGCCCTCTTGCTTCCATACCACTTCTCGATAGCTGAGTGGATGAAGTCTCCTCACTGGCAAGTCTTGACTCAAAACCGCGCAAGCCTAAAGCCTTCAACGCAAAAAATCCCAAGCAAGCTACAAACCCGAATCGCTAGATCCCTTATATCGTCAACTCTAAGCCCTTAACACCGACCTGCATTTAGGCTCTCCCAGACTCATATGGATGAAGGTATGCAGCCTGTCGGACGACACATCATCTAATACAGCACTATCCTATTTGTAATAGTGCAACATAGCATACTACAACCCAGAGACTCCAATATCCCGTAATGAAGGAATACTCCTGAAATCATAAGGGATCCTACCATGAGGCATATTCCATAATCATGGGATATTGGAGTCTCTGCAAACGTAATACGAGACAGTAAAATATCTTTAGCTCAGCGCCTCATGCGAGTTGGGGCCTTCCGAAATTGAAACTTCGGCAGACATGTTTGTGCGTGTGTGCGTATGCATTTGTGTACATATATATATATATATATATGTATATGTATAAAGAGCGTTCAGGTGCAGGCTCTGGACAGAGCCTTTCGTGATTCCAGGGTTAGCCTGGCATGAACCGTGGACCCAAAATCCTCAACAACAACTGCTCATCCCGGGAGGTTTTGGGCTTGCCGAAACGCTCCGCGCAAAGACGGTACAAGATTCCTTCAGCCCGGCAGGAGCTAGTCACGAGTCCCTCCCTGCAGTGCCAAAGCTACTACAGACCCACAGCACTGCCAGGTATCGACTTTCGACATGACCCTAAGCCCTAAACCCTAAATCCTAAACCCTAATGGGTTTTATAAAGAAAGACTAGTTCAACTGCCCTGCAGCAGCGAGGTCCAGAGAGCCGACTTCCCCTTAATTACGGAATACGGCTTAAATTCTAGAGGGCTTTATACTGTTGATGGTAGAAATCCTGCAGTACCCATGATAAGGAATATACCGTTATTCCCATAGTTTAGGGTCCTTAAGGTCATGCAGGATTTACATCATCAACCGTATTATGATCTAAGCTGTATTCCGTAATTAAGGGGTATTGGGCTCTCTGGGGGTCTTGCTTCCGAGGAACGGTCGAACTGCTCGGCGCAGTGCACTTCTTCCAAGTCAAAGTTCGCAAGCTGGTAAATTAGTTGGTGCTTCTCCCGGAAGCTCATTCGAAGCAGATAAATGCCCGCAGCATATGGGCAAGCGAAAATGGCAAAGGCGACGGCCAGCGTCGTAATGCCCGGTCCAAAGATATCCCTTGCAATGAGAAATAATGCTGCAAAGACGTACGCCGAAGCCAGCATCAGGCATACAGTCCTCTGTCTGGTTCTTTGTAGGGAATGGGGAAATGGGTGATGGAGACAATAACTGGGGATTATATAGGGACTGCTATAGGAATCCCATCCCCCGTGCCCTACAAGGCACCAGGCCCTGGTAGTCCTTTTGATGACCCTACACCCTAAACCTCAAACCCCGAAACCCTAAACCCCATAGACCCTAAACCCAATGCCCTAAACCCCTAAACCCCAGAACCCTAAAACAGTCCTTTCGATGAAAAGAGGTCTGAATGTGATTTTTCCTGACGGGTTCACCTTTTTGTAAGCCGCAAGCTCGAAGACGCACCAGAGCCTCAGCGCTTCTGGCCCGATACCATTTGTCAAACGATAGCACTGAAGGGTATTGGGGTGGAAAAAGACAACTAGCACTCGGCTGCTGTTGTTGATGATGTTGCTGACGCCCTTGCCGTTGCTGTTGACGTTCCGAGTGCTGTTGCTGTCTGGGGGGGGGGGGGGGGTAGTAGTTGGGGGGGGGGGGGGGGGGCGTTGTGGTCGTCCTCCTTTGTTTCGAATTGTAGAATATCGCCGTTGATAGGCGTCAAGACCCTCAACTGAGGAAACCTGCAAGCTTTGACGCCGACCAGGCTGTGTTCGATGTGGCCTAGCGCATTTAGGGATACATACGGGTCTAGGATTGTAGGGTTTTGCGGTTTCTGGCTTAAAGATAGGGCTTTAGGATTTTAGAGCTCAGGATTTAGCTTTAAAGCTATTTTGATAATGACAAAAAGCATGACGGAGACTGTGAAGCCTCCGGCGATTAAACACCATCTCCACACCCTGAGTCCGCGACCATAAGTCCTGGCTTTAGGGTTTGGGGTTTAGGGTTGATGGAACCCTAAATGCGAAGTACTATGGCGAGTAGTAGGGGTCCTAGCAAGCAAAGAGCAAAGCCTCAAACCCGAAAGCCCTAGACTAGCAAAACTGAACCCTATGCTTCATTCCTGACACGAAGCCTGGATAGGTAGGGCGAACTCCATAGAATGCGCAGCTCGTCAGAGATGCACCTCACTTCTCATGTGGAAATCCTACACCCTAAACCCCCAAGCCCTAAACGCTAAACCCTCAAGCCCAAATCCTACCTTAACCCCAAGTAACCTACCTATTTGAGGACATGTATAAAGAAATCATATTAGGGAACCCTAAAAAGGTAGGTTGCTTAGGGTCCAGGTAAACACTAAAACCCAAACCTTAAACCTTAGAAAGGCTTTTTGGCCTTGATCTTTTAGGGGGGCACGTAGAGAAGAAAGGTCAAACGGAAGCTTTTTGGTTTTGTCTGGGGTGTAGGCTTGAGGATTTAAGGCTCATAGGGTGTAAGGCTCACAGGGTTTAGGGTTTAGGGTTCAAGTCTCATAGGGATAGGGTTTAGGATTTAAGGCTCAAAGAGTGTAGGCTTTAGGATTTAAGGCTCATTAGGGTGTAGGGTTTAGGATTTAAGGCTCATAGGGTTTAGGGTTTAGGATTTAAGGCTCATAGGGTTTAGGGGTTTAGGGTTTAAGGCTCATAGGGTTTAGGGTTTGGGGTTTAAGGCTCATAGGGTTTAGGGCTTAGGGTTCAAGGCTCATAGGGTTTAGGGTTGCGGGTTTAAGACTTAGGGATCATCGTGCTTAGGGTTTAAGACCTCGGGTTCACGGGTCAGGAATTAGGGTCCATGGGTCTAGGTTATGGGTCAATGGTTTGGGCGTACATGGGTTTAGGGCTGAAACTTTCGATCTTGGGCACAAGAAGAACAGACATATTATATATATGTATATATGTATACACATATGTATCATGTAATACACGACAATGTCATGTTGCATAATATAAGTATACAATATGGCATAAATTACCCAAGATGATTTAATGTAAGACCGTACAGCATAATGTAACATGTTATCGTATATAATAACTGGATGAATCATAATTAAAGTCTGAATGGGAAAGCCAAGCCCGCCCTAAACTATTCCTAAACCCCCCGAAACCGCGAGTCCTGAACTGGTCCGTAACCAAGAGAGCGGCGGCATTGCTTAAAGGATCATGATACTTAGTAACTGGGGTTAGAAGTAAGGTAGCTACAGTTATAATTACTTGTATCCCCAATTAAAGTACTTATACCCCTACTTAGTAAGTCCCATGATCCTTAAACCCTAAACCCTTATAGATCTCTTACAGAACCCTTTAAGGAATCCCTTAAGGACCCTACGAGTACTTACTAAGTCCCGTGATCCTGCAAGTGTAGCTTAGGTGCAGGAACCCGGCAATTCCGTAGACTCCGCGCTCCTTCAACTCTTGGTCAACCTGCTGGGGGCTCTGTAACCCTAAGGGTTCATGTACCCAGCCAGTATATACGTAAGCCCCAAAGTACCTTTTTAGGGACTGGGTACATGGACCCTTAGAGTAATGTAGGGGCATGAAGACTATAGGAACTAGAATAGGGTTCCTTTAAAGGGCTCCCTTTTCAAGAGGCTTATAAGGACTACTTTAAGGGCTATTATAAGGATTCAGGGTGGGCGCCTCAATACTTAGCATAGGGCTTCGGGGTATAGTACACGATTGCCGAAACAAGGAGCCCGCAGGAATACTGTTCCCTCAGGGTCCATGTGCCCATATAGAGATACATGAGCCCCAAAGTACCTATATAGGGACTACATTAAGGCCAATGTATATACTATATGAGTACATGGACCCTTAGGGGTTAGTAGTTTTTCCGACCCTTCGTGGTAATGTTGCTGACTTCTGGGTACGAGCTTTTCTTGCAACGGGAAACCTTAGGGTTTAGGGATTGCAGTGTAAGTATGCTCAGGTTGATACAGATCCCGGCCATACTTTCAAGGACGTTTCGTTTCTCAGTTCACGGAAACATCCCAGATTTTAAGCTCCAAGTGGTCCTAAAGCTTGATCCTTAAACGGGGCTTACGGCTTACGCTTCCGGTCTAAGTTTTAGGGGGTTCGGGGCAGGGTCTAGGGTTGAGGGGGAACCCACAGGTTTGCGTTTCCAAAAAGCCTGTTCAGAAAGAGGGTTTTCTGGGCTTCAGAGTTTGACGCAACCGCCAACCCGGCAACCAGGTGATTCCAAAACCCAGCCGCACTACACGGCGACACAGGAAGAAATGGGAGTACGCATGTAGGTTCAGCTTGAAACTTGATGGCAGTCTAGCCTCAATGGTGAAGCACCCAAGTGCTGATAGTTACTTACAAACCATCTCCACTTTCAATTTCAGCCTCTCTAACCCTAAACTGCCTAGTTTAGCAACACAGCTTCGAGCTTACGGCCAAAGTCTCTAGAGACACGGAATTGCTGCCCAGCCTATCAAGGTGGTGTAGGGTTTAGGGTTACGGTTCCAGCACACAAGGTCCTAATCGACAGCCGAAAGAATAGAATCCTGACTGAAGAACCTGCAAAGAGGGTATGCTCGATAGCTTGAAGCATAATCCCTACCAGGATACTTGGAGGCTCATGGGACTTAGTAAGTAAGGTTATAAGTAGGTTGTAATTAGGATAACTCCACTTAGGGGACTTATAACCCAATTATAACCGATTTACTAAGTCCCATGATCCTTTAAGTATGCCAAGCTGACCACAACGCTAAGCCTGGTGGATGCTGGTCACATCCACGAAGCTGATATCCGAGCGCGCACACCTGCTTGTGACATCTGCATTTAGGGTTTTGCCAAGCCACGGTTTTAGGGTTTAGGGTTTAGGGGGTAGGGTTTAGGGTTTAGAGTTTAGGGTTTAGGGTCTAGGTAGTGATCGGCAAAACCATGCTTCGCGCGAGACATTGGCATTCAAACTGAGTGTAAACTGATGACTGCCGAGGACGATTCATAGTATCATACGGGAAATAAAAATTCACCCTTGGGCAACGTAGGGATCAAAATACCCAAAAGGGTACAGTTGACGCACTCCACTACGAAGAAATCCTGATCGAGCCTGTGCCGAGCCCTTCAACTATCTTGTGGCAGTATGGTACCCCCAGAGGCTGCTAAAGGTTAGCGGCTACTACTACTACTACTACTACTACTACTACTACTACTACTACTACTACTACTACTACTACTACTACTACTACTACTACTAAGGAAAACCGTCTGTTCCACTCGCTCCACTCGCTCCGACCTTTCCACTCGCTCCACTCGCTCCCCGTACGCCGTACGGTACGTCTATACAGAGTGAGTGGAGCGAGTGGCGCGAGTGGCGCGAGTGGCGCGAGTGGCGCGAGTGGCGCGAGTGGCGCGAGTGGCGTGAGTGGCGTGAGTGGAGCGAGTGGAGCGAGTGGAGCAAGTGGCGCAGACGACTTTAATTCTCCCCCCCGCGCGGCCGCAATGTACTACTACTACTACTACTACCACCACTACTACTACTACTACTACTACTTCTACTTCTACTACTTCTACTACTACTACTACTGCTACTACTACTACTACTACTACTACTACTACTACTACTACTACTACTACTACTACTACTACTACTACTACTACTACTACTACTACTACTACTACTGACTGAGTAGTACAACTGCCACTACCTGAGAGTTGCATCGTCGATGGGTCCCGCAATGGCCATGGCATAAGATTGAGAGATTGCCGTTTTTGCTTAGAGTTTAGGGTCTTTGGGTTCAGAGCTAGCAACGGACCCTAAACCCCAAATCCCAGAAAAGTGTTTGCCCCACACCTCAAACTCCCCAAACCTGCGCCTGGTGGGCCAAAGCGGGACAGAAAACACGCCGGCCACGGTGGCGAAGCAGCTGACAAGCACGTTCCAAAAGCCTGAGCAAGTGTACAAAGCAGCTGGGTGATGAGAACCCCTGATTGCTAAGTCCCCTAGATATATAATTAACAAAATAGCCCGAAAGAAGAATCAAATCTATTGTATTCCTTATTGTCGGAGATGTTTTTTCTCACGGGGTCAACATCTGAAGGGCTACGAGTGCGGCGGGACTTTAGGGCTTATTGTTTCGGTTCGAGGCCTTACCCTAAGGCCCCAAAGTAGTTCCTTTTGGGGGTTCGTATATAGAATCCTGAAAGGTAATCCCAAAAAGGAACTACTTTGGGGCCTATGGGTAGATATGAAATTCAGATCAAACGTTGTGTATCAGTGTAACATGAACCCTAAGATACCATGTCTACACACCTAAATTGGGGTCCATAGCTGGACAGTACTTCAAACTGTAGCAAGCCCCCCCAAGGTGTGGAACCTGAACCAACACCGGTGCAACAAAGGGGTAAGTCCCGGACAATTTGCCTATCCAATACAACAGGTTTTACAAGCTGCTTAGTCCTGCTTATGTGGCAATCACTGCAGAGTGAGTGACACTTCACAACGACAACAAATACTCAAACCCGCCGCACCGAACGGTCCGGCTTCCCCTTGGGACAGGCGATGGTTCTGCACACTGAGCCAAAAGCTGCTCGCGAGCGTTGAAATCTTGAGCTCGCATCCAAACGCTTTGTCCATGTATCGCGCCCTTCGATATGGGAGTTTCGGAAAATAGGTGACCCTGATATAGTACCGTATAATAATAGGACCCTTATTATAAGGACCCCAAAATCAGGTACTCCCATATCGTAAGGGCCGTCCGAAGTGTCTGCGATGTCCGCGATGTCGTAGCAATCGCGAAGTGCATAATATAGGGGCATAATATAGGGGCCTTAATAATTAGAATCAGAATCGGGTTTTGGGGCCCATTATTCTAAAAACTTATAATAAGGACCCCCCCCCAATCTAATACAGGTAATTATTATTTGGAGGGCCGGGGGACTTAGTAAGTAGGTAGTAAGTAGACTTATAAGTACCCTAAAAGGGACCCGAATTGGGGCTATGGTATAGTTCCGGAAAATAACCAGTTACTAGTCCCCCGACCCTATAGTGCGCAAGCTTCAGTCGCTCCTCTGGCTTCGTTGGTTTCAAGGATGTGGTGAGGCGTTCTCTGAAGCAATGTACTTGGAGGTTCAGGGCTAGTTATAAGTGGGGTTATAAATCCTTTAATGTGGGTTATAACTATAGTTACCCGACTTAGAAGTATAGCATGCGAATGCGCAAGTCTGCAAATGTCCACGTGCTTGGCGATTCGCGTGTAGACGCAAGGCCATGGCAATGGATATGCTAGCCGAAGGATACACTTCACGAAACCCAACGGCCTCTGTTGCTAAAGAGTTGAGAGATTTCTGCAAGACCTACACGCAAAACCCAAAGCCCTAAGCCTAAACTCCAAGCTTGCGTCATCTCAGCTTGAGATTGCAGTAGGCACTACACTAAAAGCGCTCCTCAACCATCCCAAGCCCTCTCAGGCTAGGTCCTTGATAGAGGATCTTATCTAAGGTCCTCATATGAAGGAAGCCATCATACTTACTTTCGCTCCCCCATTATGGTAACTTAAGTTGCGCTCCTTAACAAGAACCCAGCGGGTTATGCAACCTAAGCTTCAGAAGGCCATGGACTCTAATCTAGACTTTCTAAGGTTTAGAGCTTTGGTTTAAGGGTCAATAGCAGGATGCTCATCCAGAAGAACCCCTCAACAACAAAATCCTTAACCGATCCAATTTTTGATCCCGAAAGTGACCCTAAACCCCCACACCCCAAACCCTAGACTTAAGGGTCATCCAAGAGGCCCATGGGGCAAAGGTCTGTAAAGCCCATGATGTTCGCCTTTCTCGGGCTCGGGCTGCAACAATTCTGTAGGGTTCAGTTTCGGTTCCTCTACTTCGCTTGCCTTAGTTATACTAGTTCCTGGACCCCAAAAGTATGTAGAATAATCGGCTTATATAGGTGTTGGGCCAATATTTTACCTACTTTGTGGGGTCTAGGTTAAGGTTCTTCTACTTCTTTGCCTTAAAAAGTTAAAGCCTTAAAAAACGAAGTATTTGAAGGCTCCTTGAGACTCCGGAACCTTCGAAGAGGAACGCTCGTCAACGCGAACCCACAGAAGCACCTAAACTCATAGGGACCCTTAGTGGGGTAGGGGGCCTTAATGCCGATAAGAAGGACCTAATTTAATAAGGCCGTCCCCTACCCCCCTCTGCTCCCCCCTACCCCCCTTAGGGTCCCTATGACAAACCAACACTTGGCTGACTTCTGAACCCCCCCAAAAGGTTAAACTTTTAGCCTCCTTATCATAGTTCATATAACAGAAACCCCAAAAGTTAAAGTCTAAAGAGCCGACCAGAAGAACGCCGAGAAAACTATAAGGATGGGCAGTCTGGTAGCTCAGTAGGGAATGGGGGAACGGGTTATGGGGACTAGTAGTGGGGATTATATAGGAGGGATCCATTCCCCCATTCCCTACTAAGCACCAGACAGACTACGGCTGAATTCCGTACGCCTCCGCTATGTCCTTAGCATACATTCCGTTCTGTTGTCCTTGTATTTCTTCCTCTTCCTACTACGACGACACTACCACTACCACTACGAACTTCCACTACGTATTCACTCCCACTCCCACTACGACTACTACGACGACGACGCCTACTACCACTTTCACGACCACCATGCGCACGTGAAGGTAGATCCCAAAACCACAACCCCAGTGGCAACACGGCATCTTATATAAATCAGAGCAGCCGTCAAGCCCTCATCTGCGAAACCTTGAAACACACTCATTGTTCAGGGTTCAAGGTGCTCTTAGTTGCTGAGTTCGTAAGCCCCCCCCGCAAATGTACACTTTTAGTTTTATAGTGGGTGATATTGTCCGAAAAAGTGTAAAGTGTATCCACTCAGCTACTAAGTGCTCCGACCAAGCCTCAGACCCTTTAGGCTACACACCCATGACACAGGAACACAGAACCCGGAGTCGCTAATTACAAAGCCTGAACCCCAAAACCCTAGCACCTGACGAGTTGAAGCAGAACTGAAGTCCAAAGCCTGAGCCACCAAAATGCGAAAGTTCTGACTTCTTCACCCCACGCCCTAAATCCCAAATCCGGATGCAGCAATCTGGCCTTGTATTTGAGAGGCATCGGAAGGACGTCTGCTATGCAGAGGCCGGTACAAAGGGCAATGGACAGGCACCAGCAAAGGAGGACGTAGTGCCAGCCACACTGCAACGACAACGAAAGCACCTGAGTGCCACTCTAGTCGTCAGCCCGGTCTTCTGAGAGTACTACGGCTGATGATGTAAACCCTGCATGACCTTAAGGACCCTAAACTATGGGAATAATGGTATATTCCTTCATATGGGTAATGCAGGATTTATATCATCAACCGTAGTATAAACGATGTTGGTGCAACAAAACCCGACTACACGCCCTAAGCCCAATCTAAACTCTGAACTCCCCAAAAACCTTTACAGTAAACCGTATAGTCTATACTGAACTTAGAACCCTGGCAACAATTATAATTTGAGCTGTTTCTTAGGGATTATAATAACCAAAAATTAAAAAAATATTTCTAAGTACCCCTAAGTAGAACGTCAACCCTCAGAAGTTCTGTTCTTCTAGGAAACCTCATAGGGTTTCTGGTGCAGGATGAGACCCGGTGCGCATTGCTACTGCACGCCCGGGAGGTTAGAAGTACCTTCATGGTGATTTTACAGGTTTAGGGTTTAGGGTTTAGGGCTATAATCGAAGTAACTACTCTATTATAGCCCACTGTCCTTTGAATTAGGGGCGGCGGGCATACCAAGTCCATGGATTTTCTCTCGCTGGGCACCGGGTAAGGAAGGAGAACAACAGAATGCTAGGCTGCTCGGTGACCGACATCACTGCGGTTCAGGGTTTAGGGTTACTGATAAGAAAAGCCCACCCACTTAACTTCACCAAGGCCAGACCCATACTAGCCCGAAACTCTTCCAGCCCCACCTGGGGCTCTGATCGTCTATCATCCTAGAGGCTGCAATCCACCATTTTGGTGCAGGATTTTGGCGACAAGACAAGCCGAAAATGTAGGTCTGTATGTATGTATGTTTGTATGTATGTATGTATGTATGTATGTATGTAATGTAATGTATGCAAACACACATACACGTACATGCATACATGCATGTATGCATACATACGTGCACACATGCATACATGCAGGCATACACGCATGCGTACCTACATACACATACATACACATACATACATAAATACACACATACATACATAAACTGTTCTTTGAAGTAGCCAGGGAGGAAACAGGCCCAGACTTTTATGTCAACATGTTTCCCTTAAGGAACAGGTCCAATACAAATATTCAAATATAGTACTCTAGAACTCAGTACATACAGATGTAAACCCACACCCTAAACCGCCATAAACCCTAAGCCCCAACCCCAAACCCAGCGAATTCGTATTAACAGGAAAACATGCAATCAAGCAAGACTGACAGACATGACAACTACACGACGACTAGGAATGTTAGCCATAACAATCAAGGTGTTAACAGCAGTACAAGAAGCAAAAATCAAACAAACGCACTCCTCAAATAACGACCCCTAAACCCCAACCGCGAAAGCCTTAACCCTAAACCCTACCTTCGCCCCCTCCCGGAATTCACACCCCTCAAAGAACTTTTTCGACCCCCTTCTAGTCCCCTACAACAAGCCCAACGAGCCCAGTAGCTTTCCATCCTCCGGGGGTCCACCAGGTATGGGAAAGAAACACTTGAAAACGGGACACCTGCGGCTCGGTTTAGGGTTTAGGGTTTAGGGGTTTAGGGTTTAGGGTTTAGGGTTTAGGGGTTTAGGGTTTAGGGTTTAGGGGCTCTTTGTTTAGGGCGCTAGAAGGGTTTCACTAGGGGTTCCTTTAAGGGGCCTTTCAAAGGGTGGGGTCCTTATAGTAAGGATCCTACTATTCAGGGTAGTATGTTAAGGTCCCCTATTTTCGGACACTCCCATAAAGTTCAAGAACCTGATAAACCCTAAACCCTAAACCCGAAATCATTCAGGCTTAGGGCCGGAGGGGTGGCGCTTGGGGTCGAGCCGAGGCTTTGGGTTCAGGGTGAAGGCTCCTTACTTGGAGGATCATGGGACTTAGTAAGTAGGTTTCCTTAAAGGGTTCCTTAAAAAGGGGATCTATAAGGGGTACCATAAGGGTTTAGGGTTTAAGGATCATGGGACTTACTAAGTAGGGTTATAAGTACTTTAATTGGGGGTTTAATTAAGTAATTATAACTGCAGTTACCTTGCTTACAACCCCAAATACTAAGTCCCATGATCCTTTAAGTGGAGGGTCTTGGGCCTTCGGGCGGGAGGGTTTCGGCTTTGGGGGCGAGGGTTTGAAGTTTGGGACCTCACTACAAGGGTCTAGGAGCCTTATATGATCCTGCATTATTTAAAACATGTCGAGTATGTAAAACTTGTCAAGCGTATATCAACCCCTGACCTCGTATTTCTCCGAATTAGGGTTTCTTTTTCGGTTCCAAGAATAGTACGGCAGCCAAACAAAACCTGTTTGTACAGAACAAGACCCTCTTGGTGACCCCAGTTGAGAGAGCTACCCATACACACTACGGTATATCTATTGATGCAAGGTCTTGCGTCAGGGATGTAGTAGGGAGCTTTAACAAAAGCTTTCGGGACATGGTAAGAAGGAGCCCTAAAGTTCCTAAAGTTCGGAATGGAAATTAGTAACTTCATTGCGACCTCCGTGTTCACCCTTGGACCCCAAAACCCTACTTGGAGGATCACGGGACTTAGTAAGTAGGGTGACAAGTACCTTTTAATTGGGGTAAAAAGTAATTGTAACTGTAGTTACCTTACTTATAACCCCAACTACTAAGTCCCATGATCCCCCCTAGACCCTAAACCCTTATAGTACCCCTATAGATTCCCTTAAAGGGACCCCGTAAAGGAACCCCAGTTACTGAGTCCCATGGTCCTTGAAGTAAATCACAGGATACCAGCCGGGCCGAGGCACTTTCTTAGACATCTCGTACAGACTCATCCGTTCATCAGGGGTCCTTGAGCACACCGACATAGAGTTAGGGTGTAGGCGTTTAGAGTTTAGGGGTTTAGGGTTTCAAGAGTTCAAGGAGTTAGGGTTTAGAGTTTAGTTTGGGGTTTAGGTTTCTTGAAACTTGTTTTTAAGGAGGCCCCGTGCGCTCTGTGCGTGCGCCCTTGACGCCAACTGCTGGAAAAACGATTTCCGCAACTGTCGTGGGTTTATGTGTTTTTTTTGAGGGCCCTTTTCCTCTTTGGATTTATGGGGATTACGGTTGCGGGGCTCAGTGTGTGGGGGTTTGGGGCCTTCGAAGAGGGATCTTACAGATCAATGAATAAGGGCTCTACATCAGGGATCCGTAACTGCTGAAACTCCCACATCGCTAGGGGGTTCGGGGTGTGGTCGGGGAGTTGCGGATTTTCTTGAAGTTGAGTGAGCAGTTCGGATAAAACTGAGTGTCTAAGCACGAAACCCTCACTCCTGGAATCTCGAACCCCCTAGCTAAACCCTAACTCGCTCAACCCTAAATCCCTAAACCCTCAAACCTAATCCCCTAAATGCCCGTACCCCAGACCTCAAAGCAGGATGGCTATTGTAAAGAGGCCCTTCTAGCGGATCTACATTAGACAAGTCGCCACGTGTCCGGGCTGTAGCGCCAGATGCGTCCACCACCTGAAGCGCTGTTCTAACCAAGCTTTCGGGTGCAGGATGTAGGGTTTTGGGTGTACGGTTTAGGGGCGCTTAGGGGTTTGCGGCTTAGGCTTAACATTCAGGGATGGTTTGGGGTTTACGGTATCGGGCATTGGGTTTAGGTTTGACGGTTGAGGTTTTAGAGTTCAAGAGGCTTTGGAAGATGTTAGCACTGAAAACCGTGAACCATAATATCAAGGATTGGGAATTGATTATGAAATCCGCTTAGGGTCCAACTCAACACTATCTTCCCCACCAAAACCCTGAAACCAGTAACTAGTATATTGGTGTTTCATGTTCACACCAATACTAAGCCTCCTAAATCGTCGTAATATCTACCCCAAAGCGGTTTAGGGTTTAGGGTTTAACTCTAAGCCCCTTGAGATAAAGTTTCGGCAACCTCACCTGACAGCGACCCTCGCAGGGAGATGCCCCGCACGATGTCCACGTCCACCTGCTTCAAGTTCTCATCTCAGGGGCTTCGGTTTAGGGTTCATGTAGGGTTTAGGGTTTGGGGCTTCGGCTTCAGAATTTAGAAACCCTAAACCCTAAACCCTAAACCCTATTAGGGTTTAGGGCTTTGGGCTTAAGGTTTAGGGCTTGGGGCCTAAGGGGGTTAGGGGCTCTCGGCTTTACAGCTTAAGGTCTAAGTTTTAGGGTTTAGGGTTAAGGTCTAGAATTTTGGGGTTTAGGGGTTTAGGGGTTTTTGTTCAGTGCCGCAGTTTTGACTTGGGCTGCATAGTGCTCAGCTCAGAGCTTTGGGCTAGGATACTAAGCTTCAATCAAAGCAGAGTGATGTGGGAAGATAACGTAAAGCCGTAGTAGGGCCTCCCAAAACCCTAAACCTCGGTGTTTCAAGTTGCCACCAACATCGTTTCATGGGTTTGGGGCAATGCTTTGAATCGAGGATACAACGAATGAAAGGTCTGTGTTTTCGGAGAACCCGATGCCGGATGAGTTGCTAGAAGACCATCCGTGAACGCCCCTTCAGCGCGTGGTAGACGCCCTGAAGAAAGCTTACTTAAAGGATCATGGGAATTAGTAAATAGGTTATAAGTGGGGTTATAAGTCCCCTAAGTGGGGTTATCCTGATTATAACCTACTTATAACCTTACTTACTAAGTCCCATGAGCCTTCAAGTAGGTCCTCAACCCATATCCGAAGCCTTAGAATAGCATAGATGGGAGCCCGTTGATCCCAATGTAATTCCCGAAAGGCCCTCATTTTAAGAGGGAAAAGGAAGGACCCTTAATGGGGACCCCTACCCTATAATGGGCTATATAATGGGTATATAATTGATATATTAAGGGTATATACCCAGGGGTCCTTATTAAGAGTCCCTCCCTTTACCCTTGGATCCATTTCGTCCCCGGAGGTGCCTCGGCGTATTTGCCCAAAGTGTGACGATCTGTCTTGCTGATGGACACCGTTGACTCGGTGTTTGCTCTCCAGGGTCGTTCACTTGCCTGGGCTTAGGGTTTAGGGGTTACGAATATAAGGTCCATGGTTTAGGGCACATAAGGACCATCCAGGAAACCTGTTGCTAATCCTTCAACCCTCTGTATTGCACCAGAACCTGAGCCCTTCACCTTTTTGAACACTTCCTTTCACTACCGAAACCTACAAAACTAGGGCCCCATGAATTCTATGTTAGGGTCATAATAAGACCCTACGAAAGAGTAGGTTGTGACAGCTTACGGTAAACCCAAACTGCTCTGGGGCTTTCGGGGTTTAGGATAAGGCAACCCTGAATGATTTCATCAATGTGGTAACCAAAAACGGTTTAGGGTTTAGTAGCCCTAAACCCTAAAGGGTTTCAGTCGCAATCTTGCCTCCGACTTGGCAATTTCCGCCTCGAGCCACGGTGACTCTGGTGCGGCCGGCCCCAGCCACGGTGACTCTGGTGCGGACGGCCCCAGCCACGGTGACTCTGGTGCTGGAGGCCGTTTTTCGTCCTGACAGACTTGGCGCAACTTCCCCGGATGCTGTATTGCCCCAGTCAGCAGGACGTCTAAGGATAGTCAAAAAGGAACTCTTGGGAAACATATTTCCAAATAGTTCAGCCCCGCCTGCCCCTTTGTCAGCTTGCCTGATTGAAGTATGGGCACAACGGTTGGCAACAGTAGTGCTAGCAATACTTTGGTGGTGCTGGTGGTGGTGGTGGTGGTGGTGGTGGTGGTGGTGGTGGTGGTGGTGGTGGTGGTGGTGGTGGTGGTGGTGGTGGTGGTGGTGGTGGTGGTGGTGGTGGTGGTGGTGGTCGTGGTGGTGGTGGTGGTGGCGGTGGTGGTGGCGGGGGTGGTGGTGGTGGCGGGGGTGGTGGTGGTGGTGGGGGTGGTGGTGGTGGTGGTGGTGGTGGTGGCGGCGGTAGTGGTGGTGGTGGTGGCGGGGCGGCGGCGGCGGCGGCGGCGGTGGCGGTGGCGGTGGCGGTGGCGGTACCGGTGGCGGCGACAAGGATTCGGGGAACACGTGGTACTATAAGGATAATGAGAACAACAACCTGCGATGGTGTCGATCAAGGATCGGGCTATCATCATCAACCACAACATCACCATCACCACCAGCGTCACCATCATCTCATCCTCACCACCACCACCGTCATCCTCGTCGTCATCCGTATCGGCGCTATCAGCAACATCATCGCCACCATTCACGTCATCATCGACATCATCAGTAACATCATCCGCGCTCGTCTTCGCATTCACCAACATCCACAACTGCATCAGCCCCTATACGTAATCTTGCTGCTCTCCTCCTTCTGCGGCGGCTCCTCCAGGGCCGACACTGTGGTCACACACTGTCCTTCAGGAAAGGCTCTTTAAGGATTCAGGGATTCAGGTCAAGGGGATGCTTAAAAGAGAATTCCTCTTCCTGAAAGGGTACAGATCTTGGGTGTCAGACCAAACTCATAGGCTACAACGCCTGGGGGTGTAGTGCCAAGAGCAAGAAAATCCTAGATCATAAACCCTGAACAACCTAAATTCCCAGTCCCTGTCCCTGCTGGCCCTTTTGGGTGGTTGGCCGCGATGTCACCACAGCGGGCGGGTAAAAAGAAATTCAATTTACAAATGAGGTCGCTGCACGCCAAAAATTCCAAATATGCCGCCACTCGCAAACACTGGTGCGAGGTGGCGCCATATTAACATGGATTAATTACCGGCCACTGCGCAAGAAAACGCCCTAAACCCTGGCAGTTTGCGCGTTGGGGTCTTAGGCTTAAGGGTTTGGGTTTAGGGTCTAGGGCTCAAGTTTACGGTGCGGGCTTAGGGTCTAGGGTTTGGGGCCTGGGGGTTTTGCATTTAGGATTCGGGCTTCGGACTCAAGCTGAAGCAGTCGGAGCACGATCTTAAGTGTCAGGAATGCCAGTCGAGTAGCTGAGGCCGAAACTCCAAAGCTAAACCCTGGAACGGAATATCGCCATGTTCGAAGGTGCAGGGCTTTGGGTCTGGGGTTGTCCTATGCGAATTCCGGGAGAGCTTGAAATCAAGGCATGAACATACTGCGCTTGGCATCTTCTCGCCGCACAATAGCAGAATGTGCTATGAAGAGAAGAATGCTCATGCATTGCTGAGCATGAGCCGATTTCCGGCCTAGGTTAAGGTCCTCATCATGACGGTGTAGGCTTGAGGGTGAATCGAATGGCGACCCTCACAGGCTTCAAAGTGTCTGTTCCTGTCCTACAAAGCCATATGGGAGTGTCCGAGAATAGGGGACAACCTAATAATATAGTACTCGTAGGATCCTCAATACAAGGATCCCAAAATAAGGTACCCCTATATAGTTTTCCTAAACTCTATACTGTAAACCCCAATAGAGCCCTGTAAAGGAACCCTTATGGTAACGCTTCAAAGGAACCCTAAGGTACCCGTATGGCTTGAAGGCGAAGTGTTGAGGATCAAGAGTTTCAGGGTTTGGGTTTAGGGTCTACTTGGAGGCCCTTTTGACTTAGTAAGTAGGGTTAGTAAGGTGGGTTATGGGGATTATAATATGGTTTCTAGGGGATACTAAGTAGACTTACTAAGTCAAAAGGGCCTCCAAGTAGGGTTTTAGGTTTTAGGGCTTAGGGTTTGGGGTGGGCTCTGTTTGCGGTTAGAGCTGTGTGGCTCGAGGTTTCGTAGGAAGTTCCTTGAACTACCATAAACCACCCTTATTCTAGGTTCTTACTATAAGCCCTAATGCCGAATTTATGGGGACCCTACAAAATGGTAGGTTTTGGTAGTTCAAGGTTTAGAGAACCGTAAGCCCCCTGGGCCCGCAACACATCCTTCATGCTCCTAACCCTACACCCTAAACCTTAAACCCTAAACCCTAAATCCTAAACCCTAAACAAACCTTAAACCCTAAACCCTAAACCCTTAAACTCTTAAATCCTGGAACCCAATCTGGAGTATGGTTTATATTACTTGTACCCCCATAATAGAACCCAATGTATACACTCACCAATATTCAAAAGGAGCCCGATCTACACTCACCAAAACGGTAATTTTAACCCTACTTCATCCAGGCCACCCTTGTCCTTTTAGAAGTAATAGACAAAGCCCTATACGTATATCCCTCAGTAGGAATTATTTAAGAAGGTCTACTAGCCATGAAAAAGGACAAGGCCGGAGCTAGGCCTGGCCTTGCTCTCCCCCTTGCGCATCGCAAGCTTCGATCTGCTCCTGAGAGCAGGCCCAGGCGAGTCACGTTAGCGTTTTAGGGTTTAAGGCTTTAGGGGTTTAGGGTTAAGGGTTTTCGGGTTTAGGGTTTTTTTGGATTTAGGGTTTAGGGTTTAGGGGGTTTCAGGTTAAGGTTGTTTTGGCTTAGGGTTTCAGGTTAAGGGTTTAAGGTTTAGGGTTTTGGGTTTCAGGTTAAGGGTTTTGGGTTTCGGGTTGGCATTGTATGGGCCGGAGTGTATGGCGCTAGGTGGCGATTGTTTCAAGTTCTTCCAAGACAGTAATGAAGTGGTTTCAGAATTCTAAGCCGAACGGACAGAGGCCATGAGCATGTACTGTCGGGTAGTCACTCAGGGCCTGGGTCAGCAAAGCACATGCACAAAAGCGGTAAGCTAGACAAGCAGATAGACAAAAACAACAGATGAACATAAAGAGATGCCAAACAAACAAGCACAAGAACAAACGAGCACATGCAAAGCACAAACCCCACGACGTGACATTTCGATGCATCTAACTACGATATCGCACGATCCTTTTTGGCACTGTATGTGCCACATCAAACCAAACGATCTTTCGACAAACAGCTAAAGCACCATTACATGGACAAGACATTTAAAACAGACATATATATATATATACATATGTATATATATATATATATACATATATACATATACATATATAAATAGATACATATATATGTATATGTATATACTCACAAAAATGCATGCATGCACACATCCATACGCAGAAACATACATACTTACATACACATACATACATACATGCATACATACATAATATACATACGTACACACATACATACAGGAATACATACATTGACAACATAATTGTCTGCCTCCCTGCCTGCCTGCCTGCCCGCCAGCATGCATGAATCCATGCAGTCAGACAGACGGACAGACAGACAAACAAACAAACACTGCATCCATGCATGTCGGTACATGCACATATATAGCATATTTGTGCTTGTGCGCAGATCCAAGTAGCATCTCACAAGCCCACACAGTCACATCCGCCACGCCGGCACTGCATCCTGAATGTTCAATCTGCATGGTTTAACTATCGCCTGCAGCTTCTGTTAACACCCACTCCACGAATTTTCCGAAACTCTATAAACCCCAATAGAGCCCTTTAAAGGAAGCCTTATGGTAACCCTTTCAAACTTCATTCAAAAATCCACGGGCCTAAAGCCTTCCTTGCTACCCAAACAGCAGGTTAATGTCGCCGGGCCTTACACCACAACAATAACGCCGACAATAACGGCAACAACAAGACCAACAACACCAAGCACCAAACACCGACAAACAAAGCAATAACAAAAAGACTAACAAGAACAATCACAATAGCAACAACAACAACAACAGCAACAATAGCAACAGGTGAAGCAGCAGCAACAACAGCAAAAGCAACAGCAACGGCAAGAGCAAGAGCAACAGCAGCAGCAGCAGAAGCAGCAGCAGCAGCAGCAGCAGAAGCAGCAGCAGCAGCAGCAGCAGCAGCAGCAGCAGGAGCAGCAACAACAACACCAACACTAGCAGCAGCAACAACAACAACAACAGCACATGTAGACTGCATGACCATTGACTGGCCGTCGAAAACCTGGACAACTCGGCTTAGAGAGCTTAGACGTAGCCTCGACGACAGGCTGGCAGCACTCCGCTTCGGAGATCGGCAGAGACTTGACCGAACCCATTCCGTGGAAAAGTTTAGGATCTAGTGAAGCTGCTGAGGCCCTAAATACTAGGCCGGAAATGTGTAGAGTAAGGTTTTGGGTTATATTCTGGCTTCATCGTTAGATTCAGGAACCCCACGGCATAGTATCACTAAGTATTCAGGCTTCTATACTATCTCGAGCCTCCAAGAACACTTTTGGAATTGCAGCCTTGTGACCTAAAGGCCATGAGGCCTGTAGCAAACAGAACCTCCTTGTTATACTGATGTGACTTGGGTTTCTGAAGCCCGAACGTCGAGGGTTTAGGGCTTAGGGTTATGGGGTTGGTTGGCTGAGGCTTTCAGCTAGACTGTTATGTCGGCGACTGCTTGAGCCGACACGCTGTTTCCGATACGGACTGCCTCTTCCACTCAAGCTGATCGTAGACTCATAACCTACCGGTGACAAAAAAAACCTAACGTTCCAAGGAATTTGCGTCAAAGCCAAAATGAGGAACCCTCGAAAGGTAGGGTTTGTCGGCTACAGATAGACCCAAACCTACAGCTCCAGCTATTCAAGCCGATTGTCCAGCATCCTAGGAGAGCTCCCTAAATCCTAAACCCTAAACCGTGCTAACCTTTGGGATAACCAGGACAGGGATGATTGCACCCGAAGAAGTTCAACACGCGAGACAAGCTGCGTCTCAAGCTTGAAGCCTGAGACGAAAACTCTTTTAGGGTTTAGGGTCTTTTTAAGGAACTTACTTCAAGTTACCATAACAAGGAAACCCACTTATTGTTACAGTTTATTCCAGCGCTTATAGAGTCTATTGGGTTTAGGGACTATTTTTAAGTTACCATAACAAAGAAACATACTATAGTTACTATATATCCCCATTATGGTAACTTACAGGAAGAATTAGGTTGCTCAAGAAGAACCCAAGAAAGCGCTAAAGGTTACCAGCACCTACTCAGACCTGCTCTGCAGCTAATTCAGAGTTGTCTTACCTTCGTGTTCTTTGTCGAAAGCAAAACACACCTGAGCAGAGAAATGCAGCTTGCTAGTAGACGCCAAACCCTGGAAGCCCCAAACCCCCTAAAGCGTTAAATCCTATAAGCTAATAGCCCCTAAACGCCTACGGTCCTGAGTCCTAAGCGCAACTATCTTGCAAGCAGGATTCTCGGGCTTTTGGAAAGAGTGTTCTCCGAGGTTGCATTTTGAGGCATGGGTGTTACAGGCTCCTGCCAGGGATTTCAAAACCCAAACAAGGTTTCATAGGGATTTGCAGGCGCTTTCCAGGATTGCATAACCGACCTTCGCACATGCACATCTTAAAATTGAGTCATCAGCTACTACGTTTACGATTTCGATGGCTTGGGGGCGGGTTAGAACTCAAAAGCCCTAAGCCAGGATCTTCTACAACTCCCCGCCCTAAACCTTAAACCCTAAACCCCCAATCCTGTTTTGCCGTTTCTGTCGCTTCCCAAGTCGGCGAAAGCTCATCTTCCCAAGCGCAATGGCCCCTACGAAGCTGTATCTTCTTGGGAGGCTACAATGAGCGCCTTAAGGTCCCTTCAATTCTTTCCGGATTTGAGGGTCTACAGTATAAGCCAAAAAGTTGGAAACCCAATAGCCTCAATCCTTAAGAGTCATGTATAAGGAATCCCAGCACTATTTGGCCTTAATCCGATTTCCAACTTTTTGGGGTTTACTGTAGGGCTTTAGGGGTGTAGGGGTTGAGGGGTTTAGGGTTGTAGGGTTCTTGTTGAAGTGGTCTATAAGGGTCGCTAACAGGGCTGCTAGAAGGGTTCAGCGTAGTGGCCATGATGATTTGAATAGAGCTTGGGGTAAGACCCGTAAAATAGTATTGGGAATGGTTTAGGCCCCTATATTGGCCTGAAAGTTCGAATACCGACTACTTATAGTCTTCATTGTAGTTCCTTCTCCGGGGTACCTTCTTGGATCCTGACTGGAAAGCTGGTTTGACCAAACATGAAAAACCATGGAGACTTCAGGTAATTCGATACCCCCAGATACGAGTCCGCAGCTAGGATGCCTAGTAACCTGGGAATAAAAAGGGCTCCCTTTTTGGTGTTGGGTAACTTCATAAGGACCCTAGGACTACAAAAAGGGAATAAGTGTACTACTGGGCATCCTAGGCAGCTACTACTGTCCCAAACACAAGTGCGTAGTGTAAGTATTGAGTACTTGGGACCCTGCGGGTAGCCTCAGACAAGCTCCTTCTCTTTCCGTTGCTTCCTGTGGCTTCCGGGTGACAGAACGAATTGGACGGATGCTCCCTCGTTGTTTTCTTTTGAAGGGGTGAATGGCCAGAGACCACAACCTCATAGGTTGGGAGAATTCTCGATCCCTCAAAGCAGGTAGGTGTGTTCCTCAATTAATGGGTTTTGGAATCTCTGCGGGGGTTGACAGGCCGTGACCTGCTACAAGGCCTGCAAACTTTGTGGAACGCTGGCTGATTCTCGGCATGATTCTGCAAGCACTGCTAGACGACCCTATACAAATCCTAAACTCCTAAACCTTAGGCTGCCATCCGGGCAAACAACCATTGGCATCAGGAGGAGGATTTGCGGATGGCTGGTCCAACAGGATGTATGGGGACGTGGCTGCTGATCACCTTCTACACAGTTTGTGGCACCAACGGGCCCTAAACCAGAAAGCAAAAGACTGTTTTTCCTCGCCGGAGGACTTGTACCGCCAGGCTACTGCCAACTGCAGAAAGCGCATTCATTAAGAAATCGCTGGGAGCAAGAAATGAGACCTGAATTTTTTGTGATTTCTTAGCCAGGGTCCGAAAACCTTGCACAACAGGCATGGAATGGCATGGATACATTCAAGTGATGTGTAAAGCAGACAGTCATCCAGGAGTGTAACATCTGGTGTTTCAGCCTTCCACCTCCCCCCAAACAAAACCCTCCGCAGCCCTCCCATGCAGCCCTGCCGGGTGCCCCCCAAAGCCTGTGGTTTGAGCCATAGTTCAACGGCGCGTGTCTTTGGAGGAGAACGGCGCGTTAATTTGGGGCCAAAACGATGCGCCGTTGAACTCTGGCCCCCGCACGCCCCCCAAAGCCTGCCCCCACAGCCATGCGTGTTTTTGGAGGAGAACGACGCGTTTGAGGCCAAAACGACGCGCCGTTGAACTTTGGACTGCGTGCCGACCTCAAACAGCTTATTATAGAAATCCTCGAATTAGAAATATTCAGGGTCTGGCCCAACCCATGCCCACTTATTGAAAGGTTCGACCGTACACTTAGCCCCTCTTTGTACCATCCCCGAACCTTACTGAACCCTGCTCCCGAAACCTTGAACCCAA